AACTTGGAAGTTAACATCTGGCGATTATTCAGATTCCAATATGGAGATGACTCAAATGACCTAGTCATTCTGCAAATTGTTCAACCACCATCTGGTCTTTTCTTTTATTTCTTCATTTTTTTTCCCCAAAAAATAAACCAGGCTTCAAACCTCAAGACTACAAAAATTCCAAGGCTAACCTGAGATCCTCCTTCTTATAACATGATAAGTAATACAAGTCATTTGACAGATTCATTCATTCCACTTTAATATTTGAATAGAGGGATTGGGGTACTTCGTTTCAAAACGTTGAAATGTAAGAGTGATGACGGTGACAAGTAGGACCAAAGTCACATACCCCGACATTATGATGGACCACCGTTATCTTTTCCAGGAATGAACCAAGGGAGGAATAACGAACTTTCTCAATTCTTCGACCCAGGGATTTTATGAAATTACTATCCGGACAAAAGGAAATGCCCAGATCTCACAATGCTGCTGAAAAAAGACAAAACAGTATTAAAAGATAATGCCCGGCCTTACATAGTCCCAGGAAAAGAGAGCTACTCAAATAACCCGAACAGATTAAGACTAAAGGAGGAGGCAACATACTTAATAATGACTGAGATAGATTAAAATGCACAGCGTAATTCGACACACTGACCAAGATTTCTAACAATTTGCTGGATTCACAGTTTAAATAAAACTTTCCACCGCTATCGCAAAGCAGCTTCTGTCTGGAAAAACCACGAGCGAAACGAAGTCGGGGATGAATTTGAGAAAAAAATTTGGACCATTTCTCGATTTGTGCGTGTCATCCTTGCGCAGGGGCCATGCTAATCTTCTCTGTATCGTTCCAATTTTATCGGATGTCCCCGAAGGGACGAACTGAGCAGCGCGCTTCTTGCATATAATGGTTAGAGTTAGTCAAAGCCTATTCGATGTGGGACTCGTACTGGAGCAACGTCATGCCCAGAGACATCGCACCAACTGTGCAACTGCACGGAGACAAAGAAGCATTGAACCATGAATTTGCAGGCAGGGAAGGAGATGAAGTTTGTCGCAGATGGAGTGAAGAAGACAAATAAAATTGGAATTTAATAACTCATTTTTCTGAAAAGGAAAAAATTTCCGTAAAGCGCGTCTTAGTTTAGGTGCCCTAGGGACACTCTGCAGTCTGCAGACTGCGATTCAGGCACCTCTGTCTCACTCTCCGGTCTTGTCACAAATTTTTTAATAGTGTGATTGCTTTTATAAATTCCATATTGCATATAAAATACGCTCTCATATTCTCATATAAATGTTAAAACATTAATTCCTTTTTTTTTTTATGTTCAATATCTTTAAATTATTTTATATGATTCATTACTTATTATGTAATCTAATATTAAATAGAAATGTTTTACGTATAATATTTTTTATAACTAAATGATTAATTTAATTTATTCAAATCATTAAAAGGAAAATTTTTTAATTAAATATAATTAAAATACTTAAATTTAAATCAAAGTCTACACTTTTAACAAAAGAATACGGGGCTTCATTAAAATTTTCTGAATGCCATTAAATGATTAGAATGCCTTTTTTCACTTAAAAAAAGTTGACTATTTTATCCCTATAACATGGTCTCTCATCTTGTATGATTAATATCTTAAAAAAACATATAATTAATTTTGTAGTGTTTAAAATTTTTTATATAAATAAAACCCTCAAAAACATTTTAACTGAACATTGTAAATTGTAATATAAGTAATCTTGATAAATATCTTTTTAGGTTGTAACTATTTATTTTAAAATTTAAAATATTTTAATTACAAAAATATTTAATATTAAGTGTATTTTAATTTTTCAGGTTGCATCTGCCGTTGTTTAAATAAATGAAACTAACGTAAATTATAAGAACCGAAAATGAAAAAAAAATTATTTAAAGATTACTTATACTTGGAATTCAAAATAATTAACTAAAGTATTTTTTTAATGTTTTAATTATATATACAAATTTTAGGGTAAAATTCTTTATATGTTTTTGGTCTCCAAAAACAATCATAATAGATAAAAAAATTATTTGAAAAGGAGAGGTAAAATAATTAATTTTTTAAATTAAATAGAACCATTCTAGTTATTTAACAACATTTAGAAATTTTAGTTAGGCCTTAAAATTTGTTAAAAGTATATATTTTTGAATTTAAATTTAAGCACTTTAGTTTAATTTAATTGGAATTTTCCCTTAATAAAATATACCAATGTTTTATTTATATCAAGGATCAAGAATATACCTAATATAAGAGTTATTTCAATATACAATTTGATCATAAATATAATACTTTAATATACTTATATACAATATTTATCTATTTTTTAAATAACATTTGTATTAATTATTATTAAAATAATAGTTATACGCGTTAAAATTTTCATCTAATAACATTTTAAACTAATACGGTAAAGATATTTATTATTAAAAAACTAACTCATATTTTTCTGAAAAATGTCGCCATCATCCATGTTCCAGTTATTGTTTGTAAACAAACTATGACCAAAATAATTGTGAGGACGTAAATAAGCTGATGGATTCATTGTTTGTAATGGGGTCCGGACCACTTAGATTGTAAGCCATTCAAGGTATTGCATGAAGCACAGAGCGCCACGTGTCCCATTCATAGGAGGCACGTCTGAGCTCAATGCGGTGAGTTTCCCTAGCACCATCTGGATTGGTCGCCCAATTTTCTAATTTGCGCGTCAAATCAAGTCACATCCGTTCCTGCCCCGGATTTACAGACCAGATTTCATTCTGATTTATTCTGATTTTAGAACACCTCACCCCCTTTTTTTTTAAAGTATTTTTTTAATTAATCCTATGTCTTTCACCCTCTCCTGATTCCACCCCGTGCATCGGACTTCTATTGCTAACTCACTTCCTCCTCTGCTGTATGTTATGCCTTTTTTTTTCCCCTACCAGCCTGCTGTATGTTATACTTACCACTTTACCAGCATTCGAACCACACATGAACAAAGAAACCATGCCGAAATCTCAGACAAAACGTCAAAAATCAACATTGAGCTCCATATATATTTACACACTCGTATCAAAAATATGGGAATCATCATACATTGGCTTGTTTCCTGCTTATTCCTCGAAACATTGCCTTGCATTTAATTTCTGTACCACAGAACTTATTCTCATAAAGCTTCATATTATATAACTGTCCAAACTAAAGCAGCAACGATTCTGTGTGTCCACGTCCAAGAATTGTCGGATGAATGGCCTGAAACCAAGGCTATATGTAATGCCCGAAAAAGAATGCATTAAGAGTAAACACACCCAAATTTCCTTTCTTGAGTGAAGTAACTAGAAAAAGAGGCGTGTTAGAAGGAGGAACGTGATACGTTTTTTAACGACAAGACCGTGACTACCGAAACAAACTACCGAAACAACCAAAATCACAAAACTACAATCACAAAATTCAGCAAATGAGGACCACGAAGAGGAGGATTCTTCTTCATACACTTAGATTCGTACAAGATTCACCCAGCAAACTTATAATAACATACATAAGGGTTTCACACTGTAAGGTGTAAGCGAAGCTTACCCCGGCTATCGCAAAGCAGCTTGTCTGGAAAAACCAAGAGCGAAACAAAATCGGGGATGAATTTGAGAAAAAAATTTGGACCATTTCTCGATTTGTGCGTGTCATCCTTGCGCAGGGGCCATGCTAATCTTCTCTGTATCGTTCCAATTTTATCGGATGTCCCCGAAGGGACGAGCAGAGCAGCGCGCTTCTTCTATATAAGCATTAGGGCTAGCCGAAGCCCATTCGGTGTGGGCCTCCTACCGAAGCAAAATCATACCTACAAATATCGCACAGACTGTCCAACTTCACGCAGGCAAAGAAGCGTTCAAATGCAAATCAATTAGCCAGGAAAAAGATGAAGTTCGCCCAAGATGGAGCAACTGAGAGCATGAGAGATGAGATAGGCATGATTCAAAATTTAATAATTTTTTTAAAAGAAAATAACAAAGCTACCTTGGGTGTGGTAGGAACTAGGAAGTAGGCTCTTAGTCGCCATAATTGCTCTTCAGACTGCAATTCCGAAGCGTCTTCTTATGTCTTGTCACAAATTTTAAAGTTTCAATTTTATTATTATTTATTATTTTAAAACATTTTTAATCATAATTTTAAATTCCAAAGAGCTCTTGAGCTCGGCTGTGAAACCGCCACCTATCCTTCATCTGCCGAGGGGATTGCTGCAGAGCAGAGGCGACCGCACATAGGAGCACCACACCGAGCTTCAACTGTATCATGTACAAAAGAAGCTAGTACTGCGCATCTTGTTCTCTGAATCCTTTGTTTCGTCTTCCCTGCCCACAAGTTCCAGAACTTTTTAGGCTCTGTTTGGATGCTCCAAAACCGTGGTTTCAGAAGCACTTTTCCGCAAAACGAGGTAACATCCTCCACATATTTACTTCGTAATCCGTAAAAGCACTTCTGAAACCATGGTTTGGTTTTTATCCAAACACTTCCTTATTCTTATTTAATAAAAATACTCTGTGAGCTCATCACCAATTCGAGTTCGACTTCAAATCACAACGAGGTGTTTGATAAGATAAAAAAATTCTTTTAAAAAACTTATTCGTAAAACGAGACAATTTATTCCCAACTCATATATATAAAAATATTTTTAAAATTATAATTTAGTTTTCATTTAAACATTACTAAAAAAATTACACCAACAGGCATGATTTAAAAAGATTTTGTTACCGGCAACTCATTCCAAACTAACAAATACCAAAGACAGTATTTTGAAATTTGAAGTTAGATTCGATTCTGAAAATTGCATTTGCTGGAAAGGCCTTAGTTGTCTATCTCCATCCAAGTCCCCTATGCAACTCCAGCACTGCATTTCGGCAACTCAAAGCGTCCAGAGAAGCAAAAACAGGGGACGGGGTAGGTTTCAGAGTGCAAATTATAATTAATTGATAGGTGTGTAATACAAGACCAGGGCAAAATAAAAGCTCACTCTGGAAACAACACAACTTGTATCTATCTAAAAACACAAGGTGTAACACAACAATTACAATCCACCAGCAAATCCCCACAACCCCCCCCCCCCATTATATTGTACATACAAAGTACAACAATATTCCATGCATTGTTTTCTTGTTCATCGCCGCCCAATTAAATGCTATTTTATGTCCATTAACCACTGCTACGTACGGCGGTTTTGGTTCTCATTTGGAGCGCTGCTACTACCTCCACCCGCCCGGTTGGAATCCCCCACTCTGGCTGCCAAGGCAAGAACTTCAGGTGACATTTCCCAGCTTCCACTTTTTCTTCCCCAGCTCGATCGCCGGGGATGTACTCCACTGCGATCACTTGCTTCATCAGCTGTGGTTCTTAATTCAGCAGGCAAGTCACTCAAGTCACCATCTTTGATAGTCACACGTTCATTGTTTAACTGACCTTCACTATGATCCATTCCAGCTCCTATGTCCCCCCACACTGTTTTTCTCCCCATTTCTATGTCATGCACGGCCTTTCCCATACTTGGGCTCATAAAGCCTCCACCTGCTGACCGGGTTGGAAGCACTGGTTCCCTCATCACCTTTGCCCTGAAATCGTTCTTTGATGGGGGTATGGTGCTGCAGAATATCTCTGCGAAATTGTTAAACACTCCCTTGTTGTAAGGGTTGGCTCGTCGATCATATCTGTATCTGAAGTTCTCATAAGTAGTCTGCAAAGGATAAGGAAACATTTGTCAAGTACTTATCTGGGAAGCTAGATTACTTAAGAAGGATAGGTATTATATCTAAAGGGACAGTAACTACCTGATTTGTGCTTATCAGATACAAATGGAAGGCCGTAAGGCCACCAACGAACCACATAGATATGAAAGTGTAAACTATTAACACTATGGAGGCCGGGGTTTTGATCATTGCCTTCCAGATTGTTGTCTCCTCTGCCTCCATAATTCTTCTAATATAGACCCAGCAAAATGCAAAAACATATATACAAAGCAGTGTAGTTGAGAAGACAAACATGAAGAAGAACCGGTAGTTACGCTGCATGACAATTGCAAAATATAATCCATTAAGAAACGGATAACGGGGAAAAGGTGGAGGGCAGGCAATCCTAAACAAAATGAGAGAAGAACAGAAAACCATGGCCAAACTCTTTCCAATAAGGGAACTAAAGTAAGAAAGCCCTTAATGGAATGTGTTTTACAAAACCATGAGCTGAGAATTAATGATAATCAAAGAACAACTGTGCTTGTTGCTTATCTAGTCCATCACCCCAAAAAAAAAAAAAAAACCAATTTGGACAAAGTTCCGTGAATGTAAATAGCTCCAGAAGAAAGAAAATGCTTAAAATATGATAGATTCTCCGAAAGTTTTTTCAAATTCCCCAGTAGCCTAGGTCAACTTACGCGGTTGAATCATGAAACGTAAGATTTATAATGGAAGCAATTTTCCATATGACTGTTGAAAGATTCATTGAACACCTGTGAGTAGAAGAAAACTGAAAAATATTAGTGTCATCTTACCAGCCCAATACACTGCCCAACCCAGGGGCAGTGGTGATCAAATCGTTCTACACAGTTATTGCAGATTGAGCAGTGTGAGCACCGAGGAGGCCTGTAGAGCATGCAAGTATCACAATACTTGATTTTGACAACGATACCATTGACCTCAACTTCCTTCATGCGAGGCAACCGTAATTGAGGGGTTTGACCAGATCCAACATCTAGATTACCATCAAAACCTTCTGGCTCAGGAGGATGTGCATTTCGTGGAATTATACCAGGATCTCTACCAGATGTTAACAAGAGAAGAACCAAAACCTGAAAAGATCACAGAGCCAGCACAGAATTGCGAATGATATATCAGCGTTCATAGCACTGCCCAAAACCATCACCACCCAGAAAAAAGGTAAATTAGAGCCTTTTACATCTTTTCAAGACAATCACAAAACATAAACGAGGTAGCAACTAGAATTCAATGGCTGCGAATAAAACTTTTCCTGACATAGAGTATTTAGTTGAGAGTCCAGCACAAAAGAAAGAGTTAAAATTAAGTGCATCAAATTTCACCATTCAAATTAATCGATCAATTATTAAATTATACTTGCCACAATTGAATCCTTCCATTCAAAATTAAGTCACATTAAAGTTAGGTCTATATACTATCACTATCTAAAGCAGAAACAGTCGAGAGAATCTTTTTTTTTTTTTTGGGGGGGGGGGTTATCTTCACTTCTCCAACAAAACATGCAGTTAGATTCATTTCTGTCGTAAATTCTAACATTTCCCGGTTTCATAATGAACGAGTCAATAAGTTATAACAAAACATGCGATTAGATTCATATTTTTGTTTCAGGCACATCAAATGAGTCAATTCAAATCTCTCTACACATCCCAATGCCTAAAGTGACACTTGACTCAGAGAAGATAAACAGACACAAGAATCAACCATTGTAGAATTTAGCCGTTCGGTCATTGCAAGGAATCCAACAGCAGTAGATTCCAATAACACTTGGTTTCTTGCATAGATTTGAACATGCAATGAGTTCTAGAAAATGCTTCTTGCAATACAATATGATAATATGGAGACATAAATTGTGCATATATCTACTTGAGAGAGAGAGAGAGAGAGATAGGGATGGAGACCCACATAAACTGTGAATGAAACAGCTACGGCCATTATGGATATCCCCCAGTGATCAGAAAAGTCATCCATCAGTTTTCTTGCAACAAAGACGCAGAAAACCGCGACAGGAGCTACTATAAGGAAAACTGTCAGTGCCAGTGATCTTACATCTGGTCCAAATATGAATCTCCCTTGAAGAAAAAATTTCTGCAAGAAAATTCCCGTAGTTACAAAGTGGTTAGACCACATCAACATGTGTCAAACAACAATGCACCAAATATGACCACAAGTATTCTTTTCCTTTAATAAAATTGTGTGACAGTCAAATGATCAATTACGGCCAATCAAATTGAATTAACGTTCCAAGGTAAAGAAAGTGCTTTAATGACTTCAACGTCATGGGTCACTGCAATCAACAAGAGCCTGGCAAGAGAAAATCACTAGCTATTTTTCTGGTTCACAATTGAAACTTGTGGCCGGTGAATCTACTATGATTGTCAAAATCTCTTAAACACATTCAGCTTTTACGAAACTCAGTCCAGGTTCGAATGCGCAACTTCAAAACTCAGAAACTGGCGCAGAATCAGGGGCCATATTAACTCCATGGCTGTTGATGTATCTTATGGGAATGTTAATCTTCGGATATTTCATCGAAGAGAAAACGTGCCCCACAGCAAGAAGTTCTTTAGCATGATAGTTAGACATGCAACCGCAACGTGCAATGATCCGGTTTCCTAATCGTACAAGAGTATAATTAACCATATAAATCTAACAGATTAATAAACTAAAAGATCTTTGAAAGAATAAGGTAGGCTTCAGAGCTGCCTAACAGAAAGAGCAACCTCTAGTATCCTCATCAATAACCCAAGGTACCGTTATATGGGATCAGTCAAACCCATAAAGGTGGGATTAGGAAATACCACTTTCCCTCATGGTATTCTTCAATCCCACGGACATTCCCACGGACATGGATTTGACTAATCCCATATATCAAACAATCTCTTATACTAAACACTCTCTTAATAGATTTTCTCAATTGTAATTCCAATCCCAGTCCCACCAGACGTAACTAAGACTAAGACTAAGAGAAGCCCCAGAGTTCTGGGCAGAGATTTTCTTTCCTACTTCACACTTTTATTGACCCTCTGCAAAGTCTCTTTGACCATCCCTTTCCCGGGTGACATCCTTTATATCAAATAAAATTCCGGTACAAATATATAAACAAATATAATCACCAATGGAGGAGTAGCCTATGTCTTAGAGACATTACACGAGCTTGAATAATCAAAGAAAGAAAGAAACCGCGAGTCTATAACAAAATCATGACCAACTTCATAACCAATTGAAATAATCAAGACCAAAGGAGAAAAGAGGAATGAAAAGAATGCAGAAGAAATAAAATCCAGAACCAGGACTAACATTACTGCCTTTCCACGCCTGGTATACCCGCAAATCACTGGACCCCCCGGTGGATCCTGAAACCGGATCGGTCCGCTGGGGCGGAGGAACCACATACATATCTATCGTAAAGGGATAAAATTTAGTAGATCGCTTCCACTTCCAAACCTCCAACTAGCTTATAAAACCTGCAGGGCCAGAACCCAGCTCGCAGAAGAAACCGAAATACTAAAAATGAAAAAGGTTTGAGCTTTCAATGCTCTTCAAGGTTCAGAATTCATGGGCACGGACAAAAACCAGAACCCGACAAACTCTAAGGTTCCCGGCGAGCTCAACAGGTTGGAGTGGTTCGCCGACAAGGCGTGAGGGGTTGGAAAGGGTTTCTTTTGTCGCTGGTCATGAGGAGTGGAGGTGGAGGAAGCTTGCTTTTGGTTAATCTGTGGGGATTCTCTATTTCTCTTTACAGTATTACTGTCACTGTTGTGTCTGTCTGTGCTTTACAGCAGAGAGCACGTGACGTGGCCCGTCCTTATTGGAATAAACTGCTAAGCTCCCCCCGCTTTGATTAACGATTTAATTAACACAACCCCTTCCTCCTAGCCTTCTCTCTCCATCTCTCTCTTCCGGGATGTGACGTGGATAATGTATCAGGCCTCTCTTATTCCCTATCTCTAATGTGTATGTCTGTATGTGAAAGAGACGTTGTGATGGATATGGAGAATGAGAAATGGCCCCAGCCCCAAGCGAGAGTGCCTCTCTAATGTCTGGTTTCAAGTTAGACCGCTCATCGGTTAGCTCCTTCATTCACTATTCTCGATTACCCTTTTCCTGAGAATTAGCATGACAACGAAATTTCATTGGGTTTGCTCTGTTATTTGGTGTGCAAGGAGGAAAAAGAAAGGGGGAAAAAAAAGCAGAATATAGTAACTAAAAAGAAAAGTGCAGCGAAAAGCCTGCAAAGCCAAGTGAATTTGTTTATGAACTTTTTCGAGAGAGGATGGACCTCGTAATAACCTTTCTCTTTTGACATTTTTTAGTTTTGCTTTTGAGCAATGGCCCATTGATGTGCTGAGTAAAAATAAGTCGGGGGTTGGGAAAGAGATGATTTTGTCTGGGGATTAATCATGAGGGTCCAATTAAAAATTACTATAATTAGCTAGTGTCATGTAGAGTAGCATTAACAGATTGATAAAGCAAAACTAAGCAGCAATAATGATGACAGCGCAACGTCCACCGTCAATGGCAATTCGCATGATCAACGCACCTGCTGACTAAAGGTATGTTTGAATTCACGTTGAGCAAGACTGATTTCTAACATAACTGGTTTTATAATTAAAGTTAGAGTGAAAATTAGTTAGTATAATATGATTTATATTTGGATAGGTGTTTATAAAAAGTCAGTTGAAAAAGTTAAAAGTTGTTTGGATGATTAATAGAAAAGTTAGTTTAGTTGTAAAATGATTAAAAAGGATATGGACTTTATTGAATAATAGTATCTGAAATTTTATGTTTTTAATGTGATAATAGTTTTTAAAAATACTTAAAATTATTATGATAAAATATAAATAGTTTATTTGTGAAATTATAAAATAAAAATATTTGTTACGGAGAAAAATTTGAAAACACATTGTAGATAATTAATTAAATATACATAATAGACAAACATAAATATAAATTAAACTTTATTTGGTCTCTGATTAAAGTAAATAAAATCACATAACTAATTAGATTGTAAGCTTTACACAATTTTCTTATAAGTCAGTTAGAAAAGTTGATCTAAATTGCGTTGGATAAGTCAGTTAGAAAAGTTACTTTTTCCCATAAGTCAGTTAGAAAAGAAGCCACATCCAAATAATCTTCTGAGGGTGTGTTTGGATGAAACCAAACCATGGTTTGGAGAATAGCTTTTGGAAAATAGATTTTGGGAAGAATAGATTTTGTAAAAAAGTGATTCTGAGAAATAAGAGTGTTTGGATAGTTATTAAGAAGTACTTTTTACATATACAAATTACTAAAAAAAACATAAGTTAATATGATAATTATATAAAAGATAAATTTTATGATATATTTTAATTTGAAGGAATAAAATTGTTAATAATATATTTTTTACCAACATAATTAATAATACATAAGATAATGTGATTAATAAATAACTAATATGTGTATATATGTTTATAAGATATAAGGTTAAATATGTTTATAAAAAAATAATTGAGAAATGTTAAAGTCATATTATTGTTGAGATTTACTCTGACTGACACAATCATTTCTCCAATTTGAGCCAGAAGCAGAATGAATTCAATTCTCCTGAAACTATGGTTTTGGCCCAAACCATGGTTTCAGATTATTGGCCCAAAATTGATGCTGTTTGGGTGATATCTCACCAAAACCATGGTTTTGCCTCCCAAATCATGGTTTTGAGGGTCACCCAAACAGGCCCTGAGTCACAATAAACCACAAATCTCAATTTTACGCTTTTTTGTGTGCTTTTACCATGTGCAAATGGCAATCCAAACGAGGCCTAAATTGCTCCTTGCTTTGGAACTATAAAAGCCTCAAATGGCCCTCCCACCATCCGTCTCTATACTTATCATTAAGATTTATAAACGGAGTATTACATTACGTCTGGCCATTACATGAATTAAATGACATACTAGTATAAAATATTGTTATTCTTATAGGCAGACTACAAGTTAGCACAGGGTTATTAGAACGATGCTTTACTTTTCGTAGTTGCGAAGTCATAGTAAATAAACAGGTGGGGTGGTTTGGGCTCACTGGGGTCATGATTCATTGATCACCACGTGAGAAGCGATCCTTTGGTTTATTGAGAACGGGTACGGTGAGATATTCGCGTAATGTAGGAATACGCATAATACTTTTTCTTTGCTTAGCTAACAAGATTAAGTTAACCAACATTGTTTTTTTTTTATCTCCTTGTATCCATCCAGCCGCTCATAATTTATCTTGTACGCCGCTCGTTGCCCTTTCAATGCACGCAAGCGACGACGTCCTGGCCACTGAACGCAATCAAGAGATTAACATCTCAGATTTTTTTTACAACTGGAGCAGCGTATTTGGATTTTTTTTTTCATTAAATAATTGACCTGGTCATTTTTTTAATTGGAAAAGTAGTATACTCGTATGTGGTGTACGCGCAACAAAAAGTCTAATTAAGATAAAAGCACAATTTCTCATCTATATACAACTAGTGTTGCTTCTACGTATTAGATATATATAAATCAACTATGCTGTCACAGCTCTTGAATGGTATTGAAATATTATGTACACAGTACACACGAGGTATAATGACTTCAAATTCTTCAAATAAATCAGTAGAAATTGAATGCATTAAAGAAGATATGTGATTTTTATTCGCCTGCATTATGAGGATTTAATCATTAACCACGATTTATCCACACCCCACCTCATCACTCCAGCAGGTGGCTAGCAATGTAAACTTTCAACTCACCAATTGTTGGATGTTAATCCACTTAAAACCAGCTGCCTCATTATCAATTTGATACTACCTGGCGTATTCTTCTTAGTCTCCATATTCCACCCACTGCCCAGTCTCTGCAGCAGCTTGCTCCGCCTTCTGCCCCTTGTGGTTCCCTCGAGATATTATATTTTCAAGCCAGCACCAGATGACTCGAACCAGGCTGGTGCAGGGGTCTTATGGAATGCATATGGCCGCCAATTCAAGCACCATCCTCAAAGTTGTTGCCAAGAACTGACCTTACAGCAGTGGATCTGCAATGCTGGTGATTCTGTTTTGGTCTCTCATCAGGGGGCGTGACTGCAAACAAACATAACCAAACCAAGCTCTGGTTATAAGCGAACAAGTTATTTCCCTTAACATCATTCACATGCATTAGCTATCTTTGAGAAATTATTGAATTGTTATCCACTCGGGCCACAATGTTTATCGAAGGCCTTGCGTCCAGAAATAAGCTCCAATAACAGAATCATAACCTAAGGTTCCCGAATCTTGTAAGCTCAAAATCACACAGTTTTTTCGTGACAACCCTTATCCAATAATATGTCGGATGATTTTTAAGTCCGTGTATATGACTGGCTGGTTTGATTGTTGTACAGATGATATAACGCTTTGCAGTATCAGAATCTATTTTAACTCTTGTATAGTGAATATTCCGATCAAGCGTTGCATCATGAAGCCTAAGCTCTGCACAAGTATCATAATCAAACCACCACGATCACTATATGTGAGTATGGAACAGAACAATTTAACAGGGCCAAATCCAGTTGCTTGTATGCTATGTTGCATCGCATTTTCGCTAAAATGAAATTCAAAGCAGAGAGAAAGGACAACTCATTTTATTTACATTCCCTTAGCAGGCAATTCGTGAACTTCCCCTTTAAGTGAGGGATGATATTAGGAAGTCACTGGACTTAAAAACGGATAAGAAATAAGCATTCACTCAACTGGATTATGGAATACTAAATCCTTATCTCGCATTAGTCTTATTCTCTTTAATAGTCTTAAGACGCTCGATCACGCGGCTAAGTGCCTCTGTACTTGAGCCCAAAACGCCAAACTTATTAAAAAATAACTAGTTTCGAAAGAAGCATTCTTGTTGGTTTAGGGATTTTGTGACAGTCTCAGTTCGGAAGGACATGAGCAAAGAAAAGAACGTGTTGTCATATAGAGGAAATAACCCAAATACCACAGCACATATATTCTCTGTTTTCTTTATATACTAGCAGCTCGAAAGAACGAGACGGAACTGATTGAGTCTTGGAATAAAATAAAAATTAAATGATAGCTCGTCGAAAACCTTATATACAACATCACAACGGGCTCAGCATAACCAAGTGCGATCAAAACAATAGGGAAGAACGAATGGGAAAACAGACCACTCTTGGCACAAGAAAATATTGAAAGAGATTGAGTCTGAGAAAGCATGAGGGGCAACTATCACCTGAAATTCTTCACTGCGTATGATCGGTTCAGAACTGCGTTGCCTATCACCATCACTTTCCTTCTCGCGGGTCCTTCGCCTCCGCCACGCTAAACACGAGAAAGAATGCATGATCGACAATTCCTATTAGTAACGGAAGTAACAATTGTTTCTTGTTTGTGTAGTCCCCTGCGAAAGAGCTCTACTATTATGAAAAACAAAGAATGGAGGCGTCTGGCGCGCTCGCGCGAGAACTTCAACCGGCGCCCTTGCCATGGAACAACGCAGGAAGCTGGCGTCAACGGAATTTTCAACGTGATTGATTGCACTTTTGTAAAGAATTAAATTAAATATTTGTTTTTAAGCGAAACGATCAATCAGAAGTTAGTGCATAAAACGTCTAATCAATTTTACGTTTTCTTAATTGAATTAGCGTTATCCTTTAAATTTTGAATTTTATTTGATGTTCATTTGTTGAGATTGTAATAATTGGCAGGAGTTTAATTTACAGCCCTCATGAAAAAAACTATAGACATGGGATTTGACAATTTAAGAAGTGGTCCTAAATCCTAAACAGCATCTTTGACCGTGGGGAGGATTCCTTGCGAGTCCCATCATTTTCTGCATTTTGGGTTTTGGACTATGGTCATCCTGGCCAATGACCTAAGCTTACTTGGAACATGATATGTTCCAAGATGGCCAGACAGAGATGCGATTCTAAGGATATAACAGAAAAGGACGTGAATTTGTCATACTAGGCGGTAGGCAGGCAACTCACAGAAACTAGTCCTTCCTGGAAAGAATACTCAGATTTTTTTTTTTTTTGGAAAAAAAACACTCCCAAAGAAATCATAACATAAATTAAATATTTAATATGGCCAGCGTGTAAACTGTAAAGTTCGCCAATTTATCAGGCCATAAAAATGCGCATGCCTAGTAAAGGCGGTTAATGAAAAAGTATAACAAATGAAGAGTGATTTGCGAAAATGAAAGCGAAAGAAACACCAGAAATTCAAGAAAAATATCAATGAAACTAAACTGAATGAAAAAACTACTCGTATAAATTTAACAAGTCCAAGTCAAAAAGCTAAATAATACTGTAATAGCAAATATACACATCTTCACTGAATTCCATAAATCTGAGAGGTACAAAATAATAATGAACCAAAAAAAAAAAAAGGTCCTAACATGTTCTCTGTATACATAACTACATAGCTGGCTCCTTCCCTTCTGACGAATCCACCAGTGGAAAGTGCTTTAATTCTTGTTTTTTTAAATGATATTTTTCCATGCCCTTGGTATTTAATAAAATTGGCAGGAAGTGAACTAAGAAAACTTCAATGCAGAACATGAAGAGATATCTAACGCCATCGCACTAATTATTACGATCATTCGAAAACGAATACAATGAATTGTGATTCGCAAAGACTAGAGTTTGATAGGGACGGTTTTCACAACAGATTTCCTTGAATTACAGTGAGTCTGAAGAGAATCATTGTCGACTGTGCCCAAAGCAGACACCTGCATGCCGTAGGAAGCCAGACGATTAACATCCCGCGGAATGGGAGATTGCCAAAGGCCATCCCACCAAGCTGGAGGGATAAGTGGCGTAAATGCGCATTGATGGGTTTGGTTATGACAGCTCAACGGCCCCGCGTATCTGTTCCATACATGGCCCCAACCAATTTGGTTCTTTAGACCCTCACTTAACAAGTTACTTTGAAAACTGCTCAGAAATGAAAAGCTTGAGCTAGCAGAGTTATTTCCTGGAGCAGACCATTTTCAAATGCTTCAGCAGTATGTTTAAAAATGATAAAACAATATTGTGGAGCTGTATTGGTACTTAAACATAAGTAGGAAGAATCAGGAAGTGGAGGTATACCCAGATTGGATGCTGCGGCCAGTGCAGCAATTAACTGAGCATAGGTAGTCCCAACACGCCTGTGAGCTCCAGAAACAACAGCATGTCTTGCACGAGATGCAAGGAAAAAATCCACAAAAGCAACCCATCTGGGTGCAGGACCCCAATCCTTCACCCTAAAATCTAGACGGGACATTCCTTTAAATACATCTCCTCTGTAATTTTCATAATCAAATCGTAGGACCTGAGAAAAGCACATGTACCATTGTTAAGTGCACACAAGTTTCACATTCATAGACGGTGGCATCGCTTATCATGTTTGGGAAGTAGACTACAAGAAAAATTATGAAAAAAGATGGCATAATCCGATTTGAAAGTCAAGCGAAGTAATTTCATCACACACTGGTATTTACATATGACATAACGCCAAATAAAATAATGAAAACTCACCTCTGCAAACTCGCTTATGTTGGGCATCATACTTTTAACAAGAGAAGGTGTATCTGACACCAGAACCACCTTTGGTCTTGATGTAAGGTTCTGACTCTCTATGGCTTTTTTAATGCAGCGCAGTGCCGCCTGTACAGCTCTTACGGACCTGTCCAGGAGACCACAAAACCACCATCATTCAGTTAAAGCAATATCCTACGAGAAGGTTGAGATGTTCAATTATGTCAGCTCTGCCAGTGTATATTCTATTACTCTGAAGAATATGAAAAGAGTACATATGGATCTGGTTTGTTGACAAGGAATCGCCTTCAAAGTAAAACAGCGAACTATTATCTCCAAAGAAACAAGAAGGACGCTCAATTTCTTTGAACCCAAGTTGGCCTTCTAAAGATGTCCTCTGTCAATATCTCCCTTACAAAACTGACACAAAATGAGTGCCCGGGCTTTTAATTTTGGAAGCAAGACATCAACAGAGGAGAAGCAAAAAAGAGTCCTATCCTAAAGTAAATAAGAGTGTTATTGTTTCCAAACTAGAGCAGCATGTAACGCCTATATCAAGAGAGGAACTGTATCAAGTCTACAAATTTGCAGCAAGTCATTTTCTTTAATCCAATTAATTCACATTGTCCAAACGAAAGATTTAAAGGAGCTCTGGACTTCCGAAGAAATAGGTTAATGAATATTGATGCAAAAATGACATTTGTGATCATTTTGCAAATATATGTATCATATTTAATTCATTAAGAGTGACAGGTTAGAATAGATGGCCACAAGAAAAAAGGTTCAAAATAAGGCTTTTAATCAACATAAAATTTTAGAAACATATTTCCTGCATGGACATCATGTTGTTCATTTCATTCTCTGGTGCAACTTTCAAATAAATTTTGTATTTTTTTTTTCCTTCTTCCTAAGGCTGACGTCAAGCTCTTCCGCTGTTATTGGAAGTTGAGACAGTCAAGAACATATTAAGAAACACAACTATGACCACGTCAACAAAGAGGCACCACAAACCTCAGACATCAATCAAGCATGATAGCCCGCTCAGTGATATTGGGAAGGTAAGTACTCAAATTACCTATTCATAAGCATTCGCATATGTAATGAGATATCAGGGTCCTCTCTACCATCAATAACCCAATTGACAGCTTCCTGCACTTCTTTTGTAGGGGATATGAGAACTCTCATGAGCTCCCCAAATACATTAGGGCGAGTTTCTGGCACTTTTGGATCACCAAACAAATCAAAAGCAGCCATTCTCATCTGAGAGTGTATATTCTTCAAGAAAAATTGAGCTGCTACAGCATCTGTAGTTCCTTGAAACCTATACAAAAATAAGGCCGATTGTTCTTCAATAATGCTTGAAAATTGCACAACTGATAAGTAAAAACAAATTTAATGTACCATATGATAGGTTGCTCCCATTCCTTCCAATTGCTACACAGAACATTAGTTTCCCGAGGTTTTTCAAAATCATCAACCCTCATAACCAGTTGCCTTCCATATTTGCTTTCACATCCATGGCTTCTCCACAAATGCTTGATTTCATTCATGGTAAAGGTGAAGTTGGAATAAGAAATGCAATCCCCAAAAGGATATTTACCTCTGAAAGGAACAAGAAACGTCGTAATGAGATGATGATAAAAAAAAAACCTAAACCAATCATTCATATTGACGGTTGATTCCAATATGTTATTTTAAAAGGCTGGAGTAGTTTCGCAAATCCATTAATGGCAGACTCACACGGTTCTCACGTCTAGTGGCATAAACAATCTATTTAAACTGATAAAAGTCGCGAAACTGCATGAACATAAATTGGTATTTGAAATTGCTCAATGCACCTGGGACCAGAGTCCAGATACTGCTAAAAAAGAACACATGAGTTATAGTAAATGAATTACGCATACCCTAAAGGGAACAGTTTGTTATAAATTAAAAATTCAGATGTCAACGGGAGTAAAAGCTATTTCTCAAATGAAAAAGAAAGGCTTGAGAAAGAACCAATATGCCTGGTTTGGCCAATGATCAAGGACCGGTTTAACATCACACTCAGTGCTGCGGCAGTTAAGACCTTGTACATTTCATTCCCAAAACCTGCCTCAGCAGTTTTACCCAGAACAAAGCCATGACCACAGAACTTCTCCGAGGGGAGATCCCTGACTCTTGAAGCGCCTGAAACATAATTAATCTTTATCACTATTCAATTAAGAATTGCTCTTTGCAAGCATTCCTATCATTATAATTATAATAATAGCTACAATGGTATACAGTGGTCGAATTTAGTATTGATCACCTTATCCAGTGGATAAAAAAGACAGTGACACAAGTACAAAGTAATAGTCTCAGTTGAATGTATACGTAAGTTGAACCTAACGTCTAAAAATCACAAGTAAAGAAACAGGACGTAACAGAGATATCCATTATTTGTCTCAAATTACGAATGGTGCTCATTCTAAGGATGTCACTGCTGCTAGCAGAACAATATTTACTAATGAAATTGTAAGCATCAGGAGAACTTGAGAATACACCACGCACAATATGGAGGAAAAAATGTAGATGATCCCCAGTTTAAAAACAAAAAAAACAAAAAAACAAAAGAACTATGATCCCAGTTAATGTCTGTAGTTATGTCGCAAGCTTTCTTCGGCACGCTTTTAAAGAGAAGAAAATCTGACACCGCCACCGACAAGCAATGGATTGATTGATTGGGTAAAGCTTATTCACATTCAATACAACATCTCTCAAAAAAAATTGAAAATTAACTGTTATTGGTCAAACAGATCATTGTCTCATAATCTCATCCCACCCAAAATTATTGTGCAGATAACCGACATGGAAAGAGGTAAACCCAATGGTAAAACATGAAGAGAGGCAAACAAGGAAGCAAGAGTACCATTCATAACGAAATGGTTTTCAATCATTGTTCTCACTCTCAGGCTTTCGCTCCAAAAACTTCTTCTGTAATCGTTGCCCATCTCTTCCACCGTTGCACATGGGGCTACTCCACTGTTCCCCAGCTTTCTACCACCACCATCTAAACTCGAGCTATCCGAATCTTCGAGGTCGGAATCTCCAGGAAATCCATCCACGCGAATCGGAGGATCCAACGGCCTAAGAGCAAGCATGAAGAGCCCGAAGCCAGCCAGTATCGCAAATAATAAAAGAACTGGTTGCAGGAACGATCTTCTCCTTCTAGCTCCATGCCTCATTTTCTCTCTGTCTCTCTCCTTCATCCCCTATCACCAACCCTTTCCAGCTCAAAGCGCTCTGAGGTCAGCTTCCTTCCTCTTCCAGTGGATCTGAAGGCAATGATGATGATTCGGAGTGAGTAAAAATTGTCGGGTTTCGAGTATGAACCGACACTATATCGTTATAACCCGGACCCATTCATGGGTGGCGCGCATTACGCACCGCCGCTGACCACTAGGGCAATTATGTAATTATAATTATTCTATTTAGGAAAGAAAAAAACGCTATCTTAGATAGTGGGAAGCAAAAAGCAACATTTTCCCTTCCAAATGAGTAAATAACCGCAAAAAATATGAGTTGGTAGGGAAAGTCAACAGTCAACGCTTCTGAAACAAGAAAAGATTATCGTCTCTCGCTGGAGCCTCCGCAGAAGATTCTGTCCGTTCGATTCCATCGTCCCGTATTTCGCGCTTTGTTTTCTCACGCAAATGCACCGTATCAATGATCAACGACCGTTTCAATCTAGTGCTTCCTAAAAAAAAATGAAAATAAAAAAGCAGCGAGAATTGAACAAAATGAACGGATAATTCTCCTTCGTCTTCGCGCTTGTCATTTTGAAGCGCTCTTTCTTTTCGTTTTTCTTCAGAGAGACGAATCATATTTGCCACAACCATAATGGAGAAAAAGCTTAGTGAAAATTCTGATAAAGACGAGGAAAACAACGCCGGCGACACTCCTCATCATGCATCATCATCGGAACCAGGAAATCCCGATGATGCCATTGCCAAACACGATGATCATGCCAAGGCAGATTCCGCTGCAGAGGGAGAGGCCACAGATGAGGTTTCCAAGTGTCCTCTCACCCTCGGCAAGCTTTCGGCAGACGTCGATTCATGGATTGTTGAGACTATGCTGCACCAGAAAGCAGATATCACAGAGATCCCTGATTGCGTTGACAAGTTCTTGGATCTCGTTGAGGAAAATATCGTCACGTACGATGCGGGAGAAGGCAGGCCGAAATGGGGCGAGGTTCCGGAGCAAGATTCTTCGTTCCTGGAATCTGTGAACCGGATTACAAAGCTCTCCAAGGTGCTGAGTCAATCTCAATGTTCCTCGCAGCATATCAACGAACGAAGAGATTCGTTGGCCAACCGTATCGGGGTCATGCGTCAGGGGGCCATGTCGTATTTGGAGGAGGTGTTCCGGATGCTCATGGAAGAATATCGAAATCAATATAAAGGCGAATACGAGTTGAGTGGTTACGATCCGAAAGGGGAACAGGTAGAACATGACAGTTCCGCACCGCCGGACTCTGAGCATTCTGATTTTCCGGGTTATTCTGAGGAAACCATAACCAGCTTGAACAGGATAGCCGGGGAGATGATATCCTCTGGATATGAATCCGAATGTTGCCAAGTCTATATTATTTCGAGGAGGAATGCATTCGAAGAGAGGCTGCATAAGTTAGGGTTCGAGAAAATCAGCATTGACGACATTCAGAAACTGCCATGGGAATCATTAGAGAAAGAGATCCCGACGTGGATTACAACCTTCAAGGAATGCGCCTGTAGTTACTTCCCCGGCGAACTGAAGCTCGTGGAATCTGTGTTCAAAGAGCACCCATCGATAGGGGCGGGCCTCTACAGCAACCTAACTCGCGGCGTCGTCATACTGCTTCTCAATTTCGCCGAAGGAGTGGCCATGACGAAGCGCTCCGCCGAGAAGCTATTCAAATTCCTCGACATGTGCGAGACCTTGGGGTTGGTGATTTCCGCGTTGAACCGTCTACTCACGGATGAACGTGGGGGTGAGCTCAAGGCCGAAACGGCGTCGGCGAGAAACAGACTCGGAGAGGCTGCGATAAGCATATTCTGTGATCTGGAGAATTCAATCAAAGCGGAAGCGGGAAAAACTGCGGTTCCCGGCGGAGCGGTTCACCCACTGACTCGCTACGTCATGAACTATCTCCCGTACGCTTGCGAGTACAAGGACACTTTAGAGCAGGTTTTCAAGGAGCACGCAAAGCTTCAGGGCGCTGCCTCGGCTAGTGGATCACACCACCAACATCAGGAAAATGATCGAGGCGAAGGGAAGGAGGAGTCGCCGTTCGCGGATCAGGTGATGAGGGTGATGGAATTGTTGGACGCGAGTCTGGAAGGGAAGGCGAAGCTGTACAAGGACGTGTCACTGGGTTGCATCTTCATGATGAACAACGGGAGGTACATACTGCAGAAGATCAAAGGGTCGTCGGAGATATACCAACTGTTGGGGAACACATGGTGTCGGAAGAAGTCATCGGATCTCAGGGCGCAACATAAGAACTACCAAAGGGAATCATGGAGTAAGATATTGCGTTGTCTGAACCCTGAAGGGTTGACTGTGAGCGGAAAAGTGCAGAAGCCATTGCTGAAGGAGAGGTTCAAAAGTTTCAATGCCATGTTCGATGAAATACAAAAGACGCAGAGCTCGTGGATTGTGAACGACGAACAACTTCAGTCAGAGCTGAGGGTTTCGATAGCGGGACTGGTCATTCCGGCGTACAGAGCGTTTGTGGGGAGGTTTTCTCAGAATTTGACCGCAGGGAGACAAACAGAGAAGTACATAAAGTACCAGCCTGAGGATATAGAGGCTCACATCGAAAACCTTTTTGCTGGGAACCCCCAGTTCATGTCTAAAAGGAAGCTAGTGTAATATAAATTATACATCCACACGTATAATTAATTTATACAGAAAAGAAAGAGACAGAGGTGAAGGAGAAGATAGGCATGTATGCATGTGTGTGATCGGTCCATGGAAAGGTCCTGGACTCGATCGTAACAGCTAGGATGAGTCTGTGGTTTGGGAAGCAACGGCCAGTTATTTCCGGAACACAAGTTATCTGCAGGTTTGTTTCTGTAAACCTAGTTTTGAATTTCTGGGGAGGGTCCCAAGTATGTACCCGATTTTTTATTTCTTGCCAACTGTATTCAGAGTTTATTTTAAGCACTGTTATTACAGAAAATAAAAATTTCTAAAAATGAAGACCATCCCCGATGCCGTCACTGTTTCGATTTCTTAAATTTTCAATGAGAGTAACTCGTCCTATTTCCCTCATTAATATAAGAATTAATTTAATATTTAATTTGGTTTTAAATATAACATCTTAATCTATTTTATTTTTTATATTTATCAATTTTTTTAAAATAATCCTTATAATAATTGTACATGTTAAAGATTTAATCAAGTGGTAATTCTAACTAATACATATAACTAACAAAAGTATTTTACGAAAAATAACACCTATTTATTACAAACAACAACTAACTTAACTAATTTTTTTTTAATATACTCAAATTAGTCAACTAACTTTTATATTAGAGATCAGGTAGTATGAGATTGTCTTTTCTGCTTTTTGGTAATTTGGAGTATAATTACTTGCAAAATATGCCCAGCGGACATTACATGTGAGTTTTGGAGAAGCTATACCGTACATTTAGTCTTATTCTTCTATTAATCATCTAGTCAGTTCATTAAACTTAAGTCACATTATACTAAACAACTCTTACACTTAATTTTACAAAAAGTCACGTCTGTCACCAATTAATCCATGTTTCTTAGGCATTGCGAAAGGTGCAATTTTTTTTCTTCAACCCAATCGCAAAAGGATGCAGAGAATTAAAGCATAGCAAAAGTTGCAGTGGACATTCAGGCCGAGCTCTTACGGTCTCGCGAAGTCGCATGCAAGCCGGTGTTAATAACTTGACAGAATGCCTGTTTTACAAGCCATCCTCTCGCCATCGCAAAACTGGTTAATTTTACAAGCGATAGATGTTGCCGTGTGCGTATGTGCGCCCAGTTAGAGCTTTAGCCCCTTCCCTTTGAAATGTCAGCTTTGTAGGTAGGCAATTTAGAGCAAAATATGTACCCCATCCGGTATTAAATACTCCTCCTATCTTTAATATAAAATTTAATTATTAAGTTGATTTTGATCAAAATATAAGATATATTTTTTATATTTATCGATTTTTTTTAAACTACTATTATTGATACTTTCTCAACTATGATCAAGTGAGAAATGACAATGAAGGATATTAAGAAAGATGATTATAGTATTTTAAAAAAATCATATTTTTTATAATTAATCAACTTACCTAACTTTTTTAATCTAATCAAATTGATTAAGGGTGTGTTTGGATGAAACCAAACCGTGGTTTGGAAAAGTGATTCTGGAGAATAGATTCTGGAAATAATAGATTTTATGAAAAAGTGATTTTGAGAAGTGAGAGTGTTTGGATAGTTGTTATCAGAAGCACTTTTTATATATACAAATTACTAAAAAAAAGAAATAAGTTAATATGATAATTACAGAAAAAATAGATTTTATGATATATTTTAATTTAGAGGAATAAAATTGTTAATAATATATTTTTTATTAACATAATTAATAATACATAAGATAATATAATTAATAATTAATTAATATGTATATATATTTATAAAATATAAGATTAAATATGTTTATAAAAAATGTTTATAAAAAAATAACAAGATACATATCTTATAGGCTCTCACACTCTCCCTTTTTTCTCCAAAAGCAAAAAATTTTTGCTTTTTTCAAAACCATGGTTTTGGAGCCAAAACCATGGTTTTGGTTTTTGAGGGGGTGTTTGGATAGCATTTTGTGCAAATTATGGTTTGGGCTTCCAAACCATGATTTGCAAGTGCATCCAAACGGTGCCTAAGCAGATCTTGGATTAATGATCAGATGAGTACAATAGCTATATAATGAAAAATTAGTCGATTAAGTTGGTTATTAAAGATGTGTGCCGCCTTTTTTGAAATATCCCATTTAATCGATACATGTAAATCTCTTTGATACGTACAACAATGGGGATTGCTTTGCTGGTTTAAAAAACAAAAAAACAAAACAAAAACAATGGGGATTGCTTGAAAAAGACTGTATTGACCTGTGATGTCGCGTGAATTTAGATTATATTTCGTAGCCAGAACAAATCTCTTAATTAATTTCTAACTGGAGGAAACATATTAAAACGTGCCATTTATATCAATAATAATAAAATCAAAGCATATAAGACAACGTTTGTTTATTCATCATCATTTACTAAATTCACACAATAATTCATGCTAAAGAAAGAAGATAAACAACACAACACAACACAGAAGTCATTAATGCATCTAATATAACGTTTGTTTATTCCTTACTTGATTTCTTACTCTATGTAGCCCGTGACAAAATCAAAATATATTGGGCGGGAATTAAAAAAAAAAAAGCATGAAAAAATTTAGCCAAACTATTTGCTTGACAGGCTAGGTGGGCTTGACCTCCTTCACTAGTTATGAAAATTTTATTAATCTATTTAAATTAATTAATTAATTCTTATGTTAGAGATCAAAATTAGTACTCATCATAATTATACAAGATAATAAGACCGACCTGAATAATACTCCCTCCGTTTCTTATTATAAGAGACATTTGATGCTTATGGCATGTTTCCATATATAAGAAACACTTAAAAGTTGTCTTTATTTTTTTGTATTGATGTCCTATTTTACCCCTATTTATTTTGTCTCCAACTCATACTCTCTCTCCCTCCCACTTCTTTTTCTTTTAATAATTTAATTATTCTCTTTCATACTCTCTCTCCTTATTAATAGGGGCATTGTTGGAAAAGCCATTATATTTTTTACATATTAATTGTGCTCAACTAATTTTAACTGTTTTTTTGATCAACGTAATTTAGTTATTTGTCTCTTATAATAAGGAATGGAGGGAGTACATACATAACGTGTTTAGGCAAAATTTCGTTTAAGGACTGCAGTACACAATTAATTTCAAAGAGTTCTTAAAACTTTTTGAAACTTCACTGCATTACGAAGGGGCAAGCTGATATTAATTCTACAAAGAAAATGACACTATTACCTCTCATATGAACAAGTGTGAGAGAATCTATTTTGCAAATGAGACTATGCAATTTACAACATATATACATATATCTATAACTAGTTAGTCCATTTACATGTCAACATCCTTTACCTGAAGAAGGTGTTTAAGTGAATAAGTGTGGGAAAGCCAATTTGCAAGTGAGAGTGTGAGACTAGACAGCTTGCAACAGTTATACATTTAAAGCAAAACACTATAACCTCTCCTACATTTTGTCTTAATTACACATACCTTCCCTCTATTTGCTAAATTGCCATTTATAATACTAAATCCCAAAATCTTGCTTAAATCTATATCGAAGAATTTAAGATTTTCTCCTTTACCTTAATTTTATTTAAATTTTTTTAAAAATTGTTGTTTGTTTAATGTTTTTATTATATTAGGCCAAAACTTAAGTAATTTAGTTAATGCAAACATAAATTTAAATGATTTATATAGGTTTCCAAACTTGCATAATTTATATTATGTGACGAGAAAATAAGCATTCAAAATATTTTCTAACCATTTAAAAAAAATCTTAATTTTCAATATTTCATGAGGAACTAAAATTATATAATTCTATAATATAATTAAAATTAAAAATTTTATAACATATTAAAAATTTTGAAAATACATGTATTGTAATTTTTTTTAAAGATAAATGTTTAAATAACATTTATGTTAAAGAGGGATATTTTGGTCAAAATAAAAATTTAAAAGTCAAATTTAACGTTCAACTAACTATTAGATGGATAGAAATTAATCTTAAAAACATAAGGAAAGTTTGTGTAACATACATTTTAATTTGAAGGGAAGTTTGTATATGTTTTCAAAATAGAATGAAGGTTTCTATAATTTAAGTAAAATAGAATGGTAGCTAGTGTATTTTACTCATACATTTATTTACAAATGGAATTGGTCATTTTACATGTCACCTGAAAAAAGTGTCCGTGAGTGAACAAGTATGAGAGAACCCATTGGTAAGTAAGACTAGACAATTTGTAATATACATACCTTTATTTATAATTGGAATTAATCCACTTATATGTCACCCCGCAATAAATATTATGAGGGGCAATAACATCATTTTGTTTGTGGAATTAATATCAATTTACCCCCTTATTCTATAGTAAAGTTTCAGAAAGTTTTGTGAGTTTTTTGAAATTAATTCTATACTGCAGTCCTTAAACAAAATTTTTCTTTGCATTTATTTATTTGGGTCCAGTTTGTTTAGTTTTTATTAAACCAATAACAAAGTATACAAGCTTGGGAAGTTGTTGGTAAAACCCAAAAAAAAAAAAAGAAAAGCAAAACAAAAACCTGGACATCCAAGGGCAAAAAGCCAAAAACGATGATCCACACGCAAGACCTTGCCTTGCCGCGCTTGCACATTGCCCTGGGCGGGCAAGAGATCGAAACGACGCCGTTGAAGTGGAATCCGCCAAAAGCCGCTGAGCGGCTGAATAGACGCCAAACATCTGGTGGAGGAAAGAGGAGTCCGACGAAACTCCGTAGCTACACTGCGATAGTCGGAGAGGCTTTTTCTTTCAATAACTTCTATTCTGAGAGCTGTGTTTGGCATCTTCACTACTCTCTCTTTCTCCACTTCACTCCCAAGGGCCTCAAACTCAACCTGAAACCCCCAAACCCTCTCGCGCCGCCATGAGGTGAAAACTCGAGCACGCTTCAATCATCAGCCATTAATTCTTTGCCTATCTCCATCTGCATTATTGGTTACCGGTACGTATCTGTCATGTTCTTTATCTTAAATACTCCATGTAACTCTATAATTTTACTTTTCTTGTTCTCTTTTCCATATTTGTCTATGCTATTGTGCTGATTTTTCCCCTCGTTTGTTTAATTGCGTGTTCTTTTATTGTTTTCTCTTGTTTGTGTTGCTGCTTTGTACAGTGGTGCTATTTCTGTTAATTTGGTCTAAAAGCAATGCTGATATTTATCAATTTTCATGGGGGCGGGGGAATTGATTGGCATTTACGTTGCGTATGATTTAGACTGGTTGGAATTAATGTGACATTTTATTGTTTAGCTAATGGTTATATAGGGTTTTTATATGTATCCTTAATTACTCAAGTGATTATTGCCCCTGGCTTTGTCTTTGTTAATGGAATCCCATTAAAAGGATGAGGAAGAATGGAAAAATAAGGGTGAATTGGAAAGTTCTGACACAGTAGGTTGACCTGCTAGATGCAGTTCCCTAAACAGGGTGGTTCGTGTACCCTTTTTGAATTTATGGTCCCCCATATTAATCTTGGAGTTTGTGTTTTGCAATGCAAGTTCATAGTTAGTAGCCATCTTGGTCATACCTACAGCTCGATGTAGAGGGTAATGGAGTCTATATAACTGTTTACCTTGATAGGATATCATGAATTGTTAATAACACAGATTTCGGTGATCTTACCAAGAAACTACTATGTCAGAGGAAGTCTGAAATTTCCTCTGTAGTTGTGGTGCTGAACTGCTGATTATCCACTGGAATTTGATTTGGCTGTGGCTTTGTCTTGATGTCGTTTGGATTGTTAAGCATGCTGTGCGCATGTGTACATAGATGGCAATATGATGCGCATGCCTTGGCGCTTAAGTTGCTGAGGCAAAGTGCTATTCAGGTCAGGAGTAGTGCCTCACACCACAAGTGGTCTGGCTTCAACTGACGATTGCCAAATGATCATTGGACTTTTTCCGGCTTTATAGGGAGCTCTTTAAGCTCATCTGCCTACTTAATTGGAAGCAAAAAAGGGAATAGCTAGCTTATAAGCCTAACCCAAAAATTTAAATTTAAAAATAGTAATTAGGGAAAATGAGAAAGTACAAACCAGACGAGGTGCCAGGATTTAATTGTAAAGGGGGCTAAGATTGAAAAGCATTCATTGTACAAAGTTTACATAAATGTCAAGGGGCTAGAAATGTCTAATACCTATATAGTAGTAAGAAAAATTAAAGCTTTGTTTGGGGGGGGGGGGTTGTCTTGCCCCTGCCAGTCCCCTCCTCCCTGGGCCACTGCACAGAACCCAATCTAAGAAAAATTAAAGCTTTGTTTTTTTTTGGGGGGGGGGGGGTATTGCCCCTGCCAGTCGCCTGCCACTGCACAGAACCCAATCTTAAAGCCTAGCCTAGCTGTAGAGATTTATGATTATCAGGAGAAAATCTTGGGGAATTTCAACCAGATATCTTAAACCTATGACGGTTAACGTGGAACACCTGAAAGATGGATTTTTTGCTCTGAGTTGATGAAATTAGACTTTCATCATGGTGGAAAGATCGATGATGATTTGCACTACAGTGGGCTTAAGCCAACTGGATTTTATGGGACAATACTTGATGGGTGAGAGAGAAAAGAATTTTGACTTTTTTGAAAAATGAAGGGCAAGGTTCAGGCCACAAAACTTTCGCATTGTGGGTGGAATTCTTTTAGAAGCCACGGGTCATCTATGATTTTCTGAAAATAAGAATGGATCTAGGTTGACCCTGTCCATTAAATGTATCTGCCTAATGGATTGGGTGTGTTCAGAGTGATAGTTACAAACCCTAACATGCATGAAGATCAAGATAAGCGGATCCCAAAACAGTGGCGTTATGCCCTCTTCTACCTTGTAAATATTAAGTCCCTTAAGACTTATTAGTATTAGATGAACTTCAGGGGTCCTATTTGTATTTAAGTTTTTTACCTAGGACCTATGAGTAATTTTGCCAAAATTAAATTTGTGAGTTGTGACATGATTACTATTGGTTCCTTGTGTAATTCTTCAGACTAGGGTCCCCATGTTCCAATATTTTGTTTTGAAATGTCTTCTGTTTCATTTGTTTAATTGTTTTCATAAATAGCACATATACCTGTATATCACTCATATAATATGTTGCATATCTTGTTGATGTATTCTAACTCATCTGCTAAAGTTTAATTCTTTCCTGAATTTTATGTTTTTTAGGTTTTCTTCACTGAAGTTCTTATAGAAGTTGGTGTTTTGTTTGATCGGTTGTGCTTGGTCCGTTCAGAAAGGAAAAATGGGTAGCACATTCAATCCACAGATATTGGTGGAAAAGTTAGCCAAGCTGAATAGTTCACAGGCGAGCATAGAGAGTATCCTTTGAGAATTTTTCATGATCAATCTTTAAGTTGTTTGTGTTCAATATTTGTATTATTCCAGTGGTTTTATGCCGTCACTTTATTGAATGAGTTTGATCTTGGAGTTTATGCTGTCTAATAACGAAATCAATAGTTAGAAATTGATACAAGATTTAAATTCTTGCATGAGGGCTAGTTGGTCTCTCCTTTCTATTTATAAATTGCCGTGTTTACATAATTGCCAATTTTCCTGCTTTAGAAATTAGAGATAAAATAAAATAATATTGAAACTTTTACTATCATGAAGTATATCTTCCCAGTTTTTGAAGGACAAGCTGATTTTATTGGAGACTTTGTGAGACCAAACGTGTATACAATTACACTAAGGTATATATTGGGTTGCAAACCTTAATTTGATTCAGCTTTGTCTCATTGGTGCATTTTTCATATGAATAAAGCCAACCAAGTTGTTGAAACATGGGACAGACAATTCCATTGTTCTCCTCGTGAACAAAGATTGGCATTTCTATATCTTGCCAATGATATATTGCAGAACAGCAGGCGAAAGGGTTCAGAATTTGTTGGTGAATTTTGGAGGGTTCTTCCAGATGCTCTTCGAGATGTGATTAATAATGGAGATGAATTTGGACGGAATGCAGCACTTCGTCTGGTACTTTCAGCTTATGTTCCCTTATTTTCCAACCCTTGCTTGGTGAATGTGATGCATGGCTTTTCACCTTTTCTTTTCTTTTGGCATAAGAATGCTGCTTCAAAAGAAGTTTTATTAGGTGGACAAAGCTTATATGCAGGACCTTACCTCTTTGCTATTATTCTTTCTCGTTAAAGAGATAAGTGGGCCATTTTATGAGAGGAAAGGAACTTCTAGTCATTATGCCTAATGCATGGACTGTTTTAGAGTTGCTCTTACATTGAAATTCCTTTACTTGAAAAGAATGCTAGAATTATGGTATTCTTGAGCACGGATGAAATAGGTAGTTTTGTTTTCATTTCATGTTCTCTTGTTTTAGAAGTTCCAAAAGTTGGAGTAAAATTTGTCTTTTTGTTTGCATTATTACTTCGCTATATAAGCAGATTGGTATTTGGGAAGAGAGGAAAGTTTTTGGTTCTCGTGGTCAAATTCTTAAAGAAGAGTTTATTGGGAGGCATGTGGACAATAGCAGCCGTAATGGGAAATCCATGCCCTTGAAGCTGGTAACATCCGTATTTATGTGTAAGATTATGTGCACTTTTCTTTAATATTTGTTCTGTGAGTTGGTTATATCTCCTGTGCCCTCACCTCTTTATCAGAGACCATCTGCTGGGAACACATTGGAGAAACTAGTTTCAGGTTATCAGGCTGTTTATGGAGGGCACGCAGATGAAGATGCTATATTGAGTAAATGCAGGAATGCCATTAACTGTCTAGAGAAAGTTGACAAGGAAAATGGTCAAGAAAGCACTTCTGGTATAGATCAGTCGCTTATACTCACTTGGTGTGTTTGTAGTAACTCTGATTCATGTACCTAACTGTTTTGTGTCGATCACATATTGTTTGTTTGTATTCTTTATGTTATATTCTCCCCCCTTTTTTTTTTTGGGTGTAGGCCCTTATTCTGTTTGTTCTATGTTGATGCCAAAAACTTAGCCGGTGTTTGTGGATCAACTTGGATGCCTTTGTCAGTTAGTTTTGATTAATTAAATTAAGGGGATAAAATTATGAAATGAGCATTTTTGGCATATCCTAGTCAAGCCAGGAAACTATCTTGATACCATCACTTCTTTCACCCAACATTTTCTTGTTGAAGTCTTGGGAGATTTGTAATCATTGAGGGCTGCAAAATGCTCAGCCGGAAACTTGTGAGAAAAAGTATGCCTACATTAAAAATGTTAACGTTTATATTTTTGCTTGCTTGTATTTGCAATTTGTGTGAGAGCTAAAAGAATTATAGAGGAGTTCTATCAAAGAAAGAATTATAGAGTTCTGTTGCTTGAAAGATTAGACTTAAGTGTACCTAATGATTGTCATTAATATCTTGGGTTCTTGGTTTTAGCATACTATGATTTTGAATTTGGTTATGTGTTTATCTGGCTTCTTGATTTCTTAGCTGTGTTATGTTCCATGATGGATTGTAAGGGTTATTGTTCACTAATAAAAAAGTGCACATTTTTCTAAGTTGATCCCACGTTTATTATGAATTTGAATAACATGGTCCTTGGTAAATTTTTAAGTACATTTATAATTTTTAGAATGCCATCATAGACAAAAAGTAATATGTGACGATCAACTTTAATCATGTAACTTTACTTCTATGAAACAGATTGTTGCTTATAAGAAATAAGCCAGAATTCTTGGCTAGTTGTTAATTTGACTGACCATGTTAGCTTGATATTTGATTTTAGCTTTTCATCAAATCGACAATATATCTCATGCTCTTCACAATGCTTTTGCTGCTTAAGTTAGAAGGGTTAGGACATAGTCCAAATGACACTTGAAGGTTACCAAGCTCATCTTTCTATTCAATTATCAATTTGAGTAGGGAAGATCCATGGATCAACACTAGAGGATGAGCTCCGGGGACATGATACTGTATTGAGGGACTGCATCGAGCAATTAACAGCTATAGAATCATCAAGAGCAAGCCTTGTGTCTTATCTGAGAGAGGCTCTCCAGGATCAGGTTCTTTTAATAATGCTTATCTTTACAAAAGTAATAAAACCTTAATTAAGGTGTGCAATTCTTACAATGTTTTATTGCCAGGAATTCAAGCTGGATCAAGTCCGTAACCAGATCCAGGTGTGGCATTTATCCTAATTCATCATTATATTCTTTTATTTGTTTTATTTTGATAAGTTTGAGGCCGGTCCTACTGTTATGCATACTGAAAATTGTACAACAAGGTCAAGTGAAATTTCCAATTTGTCAAGGATTAGTGGGCGTACGCATGCACAATACATAATGCCATTTTGTACTTAATGTAATTTATTTGAACTATAACATAGTGCTTGGCTTTGGAAGTCTGTCAATTTCTTTTGGTATCATTCTTTGTTTCTTTGCAACCTAGAAATTACCCTATGGATGAGCAACTCTGATAAGAGGATGTTAGTGTCTTCAGCAGCAGGTAAAATAAGATATCACTTTATAAAATCCCCTTATAACTAAAAGATGAAATGCATTGGTGATGGTGAAGATGAGTACAAGTGAATGAACCTTTTTTAGGCCTGGGAGAGATCTGCAGATGCGTTTGGCTTGTGTTTAGGAACATGCGGAACTATTTCTTAATTCTGTATTTCACCACTTGTGTAAACATTGCTCCATTTCGTAATGTTAGTCTCATGGTTCATACTATGTAATATGAAAAATGCATGTTGATCTAGGGTAGATAGAAATCGAAACTCACAGGGTATTCCCTCTTTTAACATATTGTAGCTATTTTATGTTTTTCTGGGGTTTTTCTCCGTTCTAAGAGGTGGATGGGGCCAAGTAGGTTAGTTTTTCAGTATTGTCAATGGGGAACAAAGGACACTAACTAGTTTCATGACTGTCTGTTGTGTGTTAGAAATCTGTATGTGATGTGGCACTTTCGTCTCTCAGGTATCTGAGTATTTGTGTTGATGCATCAGGCTGCACGGGTTCAATCCGAACGAGTTGGTAATACCTGCCAGCAATCACTAAATGACAACAACATTCAGCAGTCATTAGCTGCTCAAAACTCAAAGGAAATTCAGACCTCCTTAACTCCTCCCGGCTTTATTCCTGGAGATAAGGAGCAGTCAGCTCCATTGATGTATACACAGCAAGTATCTTATCCCCAAAAATCTGGGCACATTGAGGAAGATACACGTAAGTCTGCTGCAGCTGCGGTGGCAGCCAAGTTAACTGCATCAACATCATCTGCCCAGATGCTATCTTATGTTCTATCCTCCTTAGCATCTGAAGGGGTAATTGGCAATTCAATTAAAGAGTCTTCTGGTGGTGATTATCATCCCGAGAAGAGGACTAAGCTGGACAATGACCAGTCATCTTATGTACCATCTCATAATCCTCAACAACCGCTTCCTCCCTTTTCTCTTTCGGAATCTCTACACAATGCATCTACAACCAATCAGCAATCTACTGTCAGTGACCTTCCACCTCCTCCTTCATCATCTCCTCCCCCAATGCCCCCACTACCACCAGTGCCACAGTACCAAGTGCCACAGTTCATGCAGACTGCTGGATCAATTAACAATGTAGCATATAGTTATAGCTTGACACAACAGCCGTCAATGGCAGCCTACCCCACTGTTGGTGCTTCCCTGAGTAGTATTTCACCTTATACACCAGCTCCAGTGGGTACCTACCAGGGTTTTCAAGGTTCAGATGGTAACTACTATAACCAGCCCTCATCGATGCCAATGGCCCCAATCTCTCGGCGATGAAATTTCATGTTCCTATAGCTTGGGAGTTGGTGAAGAAAAGGCTGCTCAGGAAAGCCGTTTGGGGGATGTGACCCACACTGCATGCAGAACTGCGCATAGAGAATGCGCTGTGATCATCGTCTCTGTTACCTTCTGATAGTTTATCTGGTTAGAAGAAGGATTTCGTTATAGCAGCTAAATCAAGGATAACGATTTTGTCGAGTGGGTTTCTTAATTCTTTTACGTTTGTAAGTTAATTGATTTTATTGCCTTGGGGCTTTTCCCCCTAATTTCCCCCTGTTGGGGAGGGTTGTGGGCATGCCGTTACTGTAGTACATATATTCAAACTATCTGCATTTTCGCCAACAAATGGGCATAGGTACTGACGTGTCCCCCAAGCATTTGTATTACTATCTCATGGACTTGTATGTTATGGTGCAGCTAAGACGAAGTATTAGGTGTGCCATTTAATATTAGCACAACAATTTTTGGTGATTTATAACATTTATATGTATATCTTCTTGTTTTTTTTTTAACGTTTATACCTTGTGTAGAATTATTTCTGATGGGAAGGGCTTCCAACTTTAAACTGACAAGAAAGCCAGGTGTGAAGTGCTTTTTTTTTTTGGGGGGGGGGGGGGGGGAGAACTGAGCCAGGTAAGTTTGGTTTGGCGTATATGTATACCCTTAAGTGAAGAGTGGTGGGCTGGAGGGTGAGATGGGTACATATTGGGGGCACCTTAGCTCGAGTTAGGTTGACCAAAGCCCGTGAATGCCAAATCAGTCCTAATCCATTAATCAATTCTCATTTATTTATGAATGTGTTTTCCCTTTGAGAAGTCCGTGGTGGTGCGTCAGCCTGAGCCCGTTAAGATGAGTGAACGCCGCCACTTATAGACAAACAAGCCTCTCATGGACGAGTGGGGGTGCATGGGGCTGGCATTGGGGCTTGCCTATGAGAATAGAATCCTCAGTTCATAGGGAACAGAAGAAAAGAATAGAATCCTCAAACCAAGGAGAAAGAACTATGGAGAGAGAGAAGCAATCCACACCTTCTGCTCAGAAACGTGGACAGGACAGCACAAAGAACATGATAACCCTTCATCTCTATCTATCTATTTTCTGGTCAACAATACGAATAAGATGAGAGTTCCCATGTATTTGGGGATTATAACTTGGTTTGACGAAAGGGTGGGTTAATTAATTGCAAGTCAGGACCAAATTTAAGCCCATGTTTCCGCAATACCAAAAAGAATGCTCGGGGGACAAAAAGCTGATGCGGGAACGCAACTAAAGCTTCGAGCATTTGTACTGTTGGGGATATAATATGCTCGAGCGTGATCCATCTTTTTCCTCTCAAGTCAAGTCACACACAAAGATATATATAATTAGTTTCTCTCTCATATTTCTTCCAGTGCACTGGTCAAAACAGAACCCTAGCTAGAGCCTTGAGCTCGCAAGAAATGAAAAAGTTCCTTTGAGATTCCACTGAATTACAAAGCTCAAAAGAAGCTGCCTGTGTCCAAGGATTTACGAGCAATATGTAGCATGCGCATGCATACGTTCCTGCACGTATTTAATACTACTATCTATGGCACAGAAGCTAGCTAGCCCTCCTCTCAGCAATAAATTCATTAAAGCAGCATTTTAATCAGCAGAGTGAAGGAAGGAATGAAAGAAAGCAAGCAAGAGGATGGAGTGTCCAATGAGGATACGTGATGTTGGTAGGCAAACAAGGGCAGAGGGAACAGACAGACATGCCCTTAACTTGAATGACAGCGTGGAGACAGAGTGTGAGACAAAAGCACCGTCCGATCCCAATACCGATACACCTTCCTGTCTCTTCAAAAGTCTAAAACTTCACAAAAATGGTGTTTCTTTTTTTTTTTTGGACGGGAAAACAAAAATGGCGTTTCTAATGTACAGTATTTATTTAATCCTGAAAAGTCGAGTATTGCTCACTACTAGTATCGTGGACTCCTCAAAATAAGAGGAACACGAAGCATTGGGCGTTGAAGCCCCCCTTCTGTGGTGAGGGTTATAACAATGGAACTTAATTACTGAGTTCTTGGGAGGTGGGTATTGCTGTTCAAAGTGAAAACGACAAACATAAGGACGCGAATATTAAATACTCTTGAAAATGAGAAACACAGAGGTTAAAAGCAGTCAACGTTGGTGTAACGTCAGCTCGGGGGAACAAAAGCTGAGAAAAGCCGTCATCCATGTCTTTTACTTTAACGGCTGCATCAACCACAGTTTTGGTGTTTGTAAAGTAAGGTTTCCATTTGGTCTCATATTCCATAATGTATAACCAGCAAAAAAGGGGTTTGCGTCAGACTTTGCTTTGCTCCTCATGAACCTCCTCAATGGCACAAATACAGCATTTTTCTACGTATCTCTCTCTCTCTCTCTCTCTCTCTCTCACACACACACACACACACACAGAGAGAAAGTATTCGAGCGCGTGCTTCCCTGTCTGCCTAAATCCAAAAGGAAAGAATTCAAATTAAGTGCATTCATGAGACCCAGGGACCGTGAATCCCACATCCTGATCAGTATTATACCTTATAGACAGACTGATGTATGCTTCTATGCTTCTTGCCTCTTATGAGACATCCTTACCTCCACACATGATTGCTCGCTAGTTTATTGATAACCTAGGACATGAATCTTGATCATGGTTGATGTCTTGCTACTTCCTAGCTTATCATCATAGAGCACCGTATCTGAGTTCATCATTTTAGACGTAAAGGAAACCTAAATATAAATATATGCGAACACTTATATAATAACAACAGAAATTATTGATGGTCATACCCTATTGCAACATACTAATTATTGCTGTGCCTGCGTGAAGTATGGCATCATTATAGTATATCTGCATGTGTCCTCGAGGATTTTTCTACACAAAAATTTGGCTTTAATATTTTCCTCCCCTTTTTTTTCCCCCGACCCACCAAATAATGTCGTTGCTTCATTACGCAATTGAGGAAACAAAGGAAGGAAGAAATGGCCGACACGCAATGCGTTGGCTTATCATTTTAACAGTTCTCGTGAGCAGAGAAGCGCAGTGCCGCTGCGTTTGTGCGGCGACATGTTTCTGTTGCCTTTACCTTCCCCAACATTCGCCATTATCACATCACTGTGTGTGACTTCATCACGTGCTTTTACAATAAAATCTCCTGTCTCCTCCAACTTGCTTGGGATTTTGTGATGAGCACAGTCCTATATTATTATGGTTAGAGTAATAGTAAGTGTAATCTTCTTAGCTTGGTTGCTGTAGTTTTATTTAATGTTTATGAATCATCAGTCTTCTATAATTTATAACTCTGATTCTCTAGTTCAACATACCGCTAAATTGTGGGGTGATTGAAATGATTAATTTAACTGTTAATTAACTTGGATTCGGTCATTTGAGGAGTGAAGTTAAAATTAATTCCTTGCATCAGACCAGTGTGTTAAAGAAAAACGTGTCTTTATTATTGCTTGGAGGAGATCTTAATGCTAGACAAACTCTAATGGTAAACTAATAAAAAACACAAAAAGCAGGAAACAACATTAATTAGTGTTTGAGCTTGGCTTAATCATTACGAGCAGAAGTTGAAGCAACCTTAGTCAAAATGGATCCATCAATGAGAGGATATAACACTCATATATGTTTGGATGATGTCATATCCCCGTAAGAAAGTCTCCATATGGTATGAGTCAGTCAATGAGCATATTGAACTCAAAGTTTCCGATGCTTTAATTTAGCATGAAATAGAACTCATATTCTTTTCTGTATATTTCCAGCCTTTTGTTTTTTTTGGGGATCCAGACATAAAAATAAGACCTGCAGCATCTTAGTGCAAAGAAAGAAAGGGAGTTGGATTGGCCCTACTTTGATGAGACGCTTCCTGTAAAGTTATCAGTCACTAAGTCTCATCACACGCCCCACAACTTTTTGCCTTGTTTACCCCATTGATGGTAAAACCATCTCCTGGGTAAAATCAGATGTTCAAAGCATCAATTATCCATGTACTTACCTCCGGACCCCCCACTTCAGCATCAGATCCATTCGGAACGAAGATTTACTTTGCTAATTACTAGTTCTTTTGAGAACTGTCTATTTACTTTTGACCATAAAGTTGTGATCTTCCATCACTAGATTTTGCCCGCAACAAAAGAAACTGGTCAAAGAATGTGAAGAAGAACTGAAGAGAACAGTTCCATTGTGCATACCGTACGCACTTCACAGTTAATGTCAAGGCATTTCAAGTTCTTTCTTTGCAAGCTTTTGGGGTACACCGGAAAGGAGAGACGGATCCAGTGTGTTTTAGACGCAGGCTTCAGGGCTCATCAGTGGAAAGAAAAAGATGGCAATACACACAATGGCATTCTGGTCAATCTACTACATGTCACCATTGTATTCTCGCATATACACACGTCACAGACACATAATATATTAAGGTCTGTGAAAAAGCAAGAAAAAGGAAAAGGAAAGCGAAGCCGACAAGCACAATCGAATAATATCATTATCTTTTTCTTCGCCCATGAATCTCTCTTTGGCTGTCTCATCCATAACAATAACATGCCCCTCTCTCTGTGTCTTCTTTCTTTCTTCTCTTCCAAGCTGTACCAGAAAGCCTAGGCTACGACCCCAAAAACCAAAAAGAGTAACCTTCTTTCACTGTACATACGGATATTTCTGTGGGATTAATAATGTGTATGATATAAATGAGGCTTGTGCATCTTTTAAAGCGAGGGCTTATTGTTGCTTTCGTATTGAAAAACTCTAAACTTTGCTCGCACTGAATCTCTGTGAAGTGTTGAGGCTATATTAATGCAAGAAGGCTGTACAACACAGAACATGCTGCGTCAATATCTAGGCATATATGAGGCATGCGTGTTGTGAGCCATGGCAGCCCAGCATGTGCCTCCATTCACCAATTAGTTATGGGCATGGGCACTTAATTAATTAACTAGTTTATCAAATGTGTATACACTCGTCTATATATTCTTCCGGTCCTTAATATAAGACCTATTTAACTAATTTGATTAGATTAAGAAAGTTAGGTAAGTTAGTTAATTATAAGAAATGTGACACTTTTTTACCTAAAATATCATAATCATCTTTCTTGATACCTCCTCTCCCTCTTCTACTTGATTATGATTGAGGGAATATCCATAGGGGTACTTTAGAGAAAATTGATAAATATGAAAAATAGGTATTATATTTAGGACCAAAACCAACTCAACAATTGGGTCATATATTAAGGACCGGAGGAGTAGTATTTTTACATATACAACCTCTTTTCAACAAAACTTTTGCGGTTGAAAGATAATTCCTTATAAACTGGACGATAATTTAGCTTTTAATATTTATCGTGGTAATAATTTTTCACATGTTTGTTACAAAAATAAGACATAGTTATGCAATATTTTTAAAGAGATGAAACTTAATTAGCTCGGTCCATTTGCTGAAGTGTGTTAGGTTCAATTCTCTATCTTGTCCATGTTAGTTTTTATTATTAAAAAATTTATGTGCTGGGATTTAACTGGAGAACTGGGTCTAAGTTAGTCCATTTTAAAATATTTGTTATTAATTTCAAGACAAATCACAAAAAGAAGAATACAGATTTTGTATTCTCAATGTATTTTTATATAGCAATAAAACAATGTTTAATTTGCCTAGATATTTTTTAGCCGTCTAAGAGGCAGCCACCAGAAGATGCTCAATATATTCACCAGGAGATATGCATGCGAGGGGATAGATGATTAATACTGGAGCATCATCAATCAAGATATGAGCATATATATATATATGAATCTATTCCGTGAGGTATACCATGTGCTAATAATAACTTGAAATATCTCCAGTGTTCTTTTTCTTTCATTGTTATATATACTCTATCATCTCAGGTGATACCTAAGGAAGATTGTGATTGATATGCATGGTGTGTCGTGTCTCTCTCTCTCTCTCTCTCTCTCTATATATATATATATATATATATAGATTATCCTCCATAAAAGAGAATAGAACAGAAGCCGCCCTAATCCACAATAAACATAAATTATTCAGGCATTTATGCCGTGAATAAGCTTTCAAGATTGCAGGTGGGGATTTTAGAATATTACTTCATATAATATATATTGACCCGAGCATGGCAGTGCATTTATACATGTAAGTAGTAAGAGAAGGGGTGGCTGGAGCCTATATTATTCCAAATATTCCATCTGATCCTCACCACATTTGATTAAACCATCCAGTTTAATTAATTGAATTCTGAAGATCCATAAGTCTACTTATGGAACTTGTGAAACCAAACCAATACTAATAAATGGCTAAGCCTGAAGCATCCAAAAGCAAGGTGCAAGAATCAGCTTAATTACAGAAAAGTGAAAAAAAAAGGAAGAGAGGCAATGGAAGTGAGATGATCAGTATTTCAGTGGGTAGGACCAATAAGGACGACCAAGAGGAAGCTGTTTCTCACCCTGCAAAAGTCTCTGCCCCCTCTCTCTCTCTCACTTTCCCTCTTTCTTAATTCCTTCACCTTAACTACTCTCTCTTTTCTCCTAACAGTATTATTAATGCCTTTAATTCCCTTCCATTTACTTATCAGTCGTATCTTCTCTCAGAATTATTCACATTTCCCTTCCCCCCCAACACAATCATTGCCCCAAAAATTGCCTGTCCCGAGCCTAATCTAATAACCTTCTGGTTACTTAGCCAAAAATCACATAATAAAGTCACCACTCTCTTTCTCTCTCTTGCTTGCATAAGGTGACGCCTGCTAAAGAGTAAAGAGAGACACCGGACCAATTTTATATTTTAAAATATAGTGCCAACATTATCCTCACTATGCGCTTAAGCCTCTATAAATACCAACTCTCACTCCGCTTCTCCTCACACTCACCAAGCAAGTTTAACTACTCTCTCGTTCTCAAGAGGAGCGTCATCGTCTTATAGACACACATACGTAAAAATGCACTATCAGACGGCGGCGTCATGGGGGGGCTATGTGACGACGGTGGTGGTCGGAGACCCAATGGAGAGGATAGAGAGGATGGCGTCAGAGAACGCGGTGGTGATATTCAGCATTAGCACGTGCTGCATGTGCCACGCCATCAAGAGGCTATTCTGCGGCATGGGAGTGAACCCCACAGTGTACGAGCTTGACGAAGACCCCAGGGGGAAGGAGATGGAGAGGGCATTGATGAGGCTTCTCGGCTGCTCCTCCGTCCTGCCGGTGGTGTTCATCGGAGGGAAGCTGATCGGAACGATGGACAGAGTCATGGCGTGCCACATTAATGGCACTCTCGTCCCTCTCCTCAAAGAAGCTGGCGCTCTCTGGCTTTAGACGACAATGCTTCTTTCTAACACAAACACGCGCTACTTTGCTCTCTGAGCACCACCGCCGGCCTCTCGTCTTTTCCGATTTTCTTCTGTTTTGGTCACACTTATCGCTACTACTGACTTTTCTGTCGATCATCCTTCTGTTACTTCATTTCCAAGTTTTTCATTTTTGTTTTCACCTTTGCCTTCGCTCGTTGAGGGTAATATTTGGTTTTGTGATGCTTTGCTTTACCCTCCTTCCTCTGTAAAGAAGATAAGAGTTAAATGAAAAAATATATATGTTTTTACAGTTTTATTTCCAAACAATTTTATGGTACATATAGCTTATTGCATATTGCTGCGTTGTCTGCCTCTGCTTCGGGTTATATTCATGATAATATAGCTGAACTTCACGGTGAAAGCCAGAGACCGATGCCTGGTTTGCAAATATTCCTCAATGGAAAACAACGTGAAATTTTTTTAAGCATAACTCAGTATTCTCAGATTATTTTGGGATTGAAACTAATTTTTATCGGTCGAAATGTTAAGATTAAAATTCTCTTAATAAATACGTTTTTTTAATATTCGAATTTGCGTTATTATATCGATAACAACGTCCAAATTTTTACCGTTCTAACATTTTTCTTCTTGTGTTTTTGTGTACGATCTTGAATCTGTTGTTTGGGAGGGAGTTATTATTGTTATTCGGGGTAACTATTCTAATGGGACCACAAAGAAACGGCGGTGGATGTGGGCTATGAGAACTAGGCTTTGTTTGGTATGAGAAGGGTGTTTTCTTTTGCACGAATTTCGCAATTTATATTTATAGTTATAAGATATTAAATTTACTATTGCTTTGTTAAGTAATGACATTAATTTTCTGTCAGAGAATGTAGTAAATATGGGCTTAAACCGCACATGTGTCTTTCTGATATTTACAATAGGGAGCTAGCAAAATAGCAAGCTGGCGACGTTATGTATTTTTCTTGGTATCCGGTACTCAAAATACTTTTTTTCCCGTATATTCAATGTCTTAAAATATTGGAAGAATTAAAATCAAGTTCTATAAAAAAAAACAAAAGAAATCCCAGAGGTTATTATTCTCCAAAGGCTTACAGTTTGCTCAGATTGTTATTGGGACCTTTTAGTAATTATTTCTCTTTTATGGGATTTGATTGTAATTCTTCCTAAAATATTCTGTAATGCATCTAATATTTTGAAATATTTTTTTAAATGTATCTAATACAGCAAAGCATTTTTTGATACATCTAATACTTCAAAATATTATTTTACGTGTATCCAAAACTAGAAGTTTTTTTTTTTATACATCCGGCACCAAGACAAAAAAATATTTTAGGATGTTAGGTGCATTTTAAACCTATTTTTTCCGATGCAAGGGCTATTTTACGTATTCTCTCCTATGATACCGCTAACGTTAATATAAAAACCGGTTACAATAAGTACCAATTGCCCATTCCATTTCCACCATGGCACCATTGAAATCAAATTTGCATGTTCATATTTAATATTTTTAATTAATTAATTTTAAGTATAAAATTAGTTAAGAGGATAAATATTGATATAAAAAAGAATAGTTAAGAGGATAAATAAAAAATAAACAACACATTTCTTTATCAATGTGCCAAGTCAACATGTCCCCAACCACCCAAAAAAAAAATTTTGGATCTTAAAGGCTTACCAAATTTTTTTATAAACATCTTAATTACATATTATATCACATAAAGTCAAAACTCAACAAATTATGAACCTCTTCATTATGAGATATAGACCAACCATTTATCAATTTAACCAGCATTTTGTTTGTGGTCACCACGTCCTTTTTTAAAACAAGTATTCGAATGAGCTCAATCTCAAACGACATTTTTTTTTTTTGGTACAAAGCTCAAACGTTGTTAAAACATGACGAGTCTCGTAGTTCTTTTTGGTAAAAGTCTCGTAATGTTTTGTCAACATTAAAATATGAAGCGTACTTAATATCCTCGGAAGCCTCAACGAACGTGGGCTGCCTAGGCCCAAATTAATCCCTGACAACAATAGTTTATATTTCCACAAAACGAACAATAACCCATAAATGTGTACCTTTTGTAAATATTAATAACTAAAATCTAAATTTCTGCGCTTAAATTGTTTATTTTACAGTTATTTTCTTTTTTTATGCACGCTTTTTCATTTTAAAATATACTTTTTCTCAATAAAAATTAAAAATCCGGGGACAATTATTGGTATGGACGAGAGGTTGTACTTGTACCCCTGGAGAGCTAAACTGATCTGGAAATAAAATCCTAACGGAAAACAAGAAAAACAAAAATTTTAAGGCCGATTGCAAAAAACGGATAATCCAACGAATTGGAACAGACGGGGTAAATCCCTGATCTTTTCTTCGCACCCATTAAATTCAAGCTCGCTTTGATTGGTTGGTTGAGAGACTCACCTTACGCGCCAACAGGATCCCCTGTTTGCTGCGGTGACTCCTAATCCTAACTTCTTACCTTCCCACTCTATTCACTGACACCCCAAAGATTCCTAATCCCAAATCTCACTTCTTTTTTCTTTTCAAGCCCCGGAGCAATAAAAAAGCTGAATTCCTCGTAAAATTTAAAAATGGAAGACCAAGAAGATTGCTTTGCTTGACAAAAGCGGAAAGCCCCGTCAAGCGAAAAAGAAAATAAAGCAAAGCGTCAATATGGGGTTCTAGGGTTCTCTCTCTTGTGCCACTAAAGTATTCCTTCTTCAAATATCTATCATAACCCAGCAGCTCCAGTTTCCTTTTTCTCCCTACTAATCTTATTCAAGGTATTATCTTATCTGGAATTGGAATTCTTTTTAATCAGGCATTTTTCTGTCCCCTTTCCCTAATGATTATGTCTAGTTCAATTAAGTCTTGTCGAATAGATTCGGAATTGCCTGGTACTCTGTAATTTTACCCGTTTTTATCTCATCGATCGGTCTGTTTGGTTGCAGGGTTATGCGGATTCTGAGGGAATAGTTTTGGTCCAAGGCTGGTGATATCGTCTTGTACACGAATTGAATTGGTTGAAAAACAACCAGATGCCGGACGAAGACTTGGTGGAGCTTAAGTTCCGTATATATGATGGGTCAGATATTGGGCCCTTCCGCTACTCACCAGCTTCTACTGTAGCCATGCTAAAGGAAAGAATTGTTTCAGAATGGCCAAAAGGTTATCAGCTACACCTGCTTTAATCTATATATTGTTCGATGTTCATGAATGAGATGTTTGAGAATGATAATTAAACATGATAGGAAATGCTTCAAGTTTTGTGGCTTAAACAAAGTGCATGGTCCTACTTTTAGTGGATTTTATTACAAGGCTCTGTTACATTTGCGATAATATAGCAGTTTCTGATGAACAAAGGTTCGTCTGATCACATTTCCTGTCAGCCATATGAACAAATCTCATTCTGAAGACTCTTGACTTGGTTGACGTGTTGGTGAATAAATTGTGTTTCAGTTCTTTGTGCATGTCAATTAAAAAGCCGGATTAGCATACTTGACAATACTTCTTGCCTTAAGTGACAGGTTTTTTGTACTCAACAATTTCTCTGTAAATGGAACGCAGTTGGTAGTCAAAACTCTTATGGATACTTATGATATTGACTTATTCTTATCCCTGTACCTGCAAATTGAGATTCTGGGATGCCTTGGGGAAAAATTTAGTGGTTGATAGCAGGGAGAAATAGTTGTAAAGCTAGAACTGTGCCGATGAGGCAAGGCGATCTTTGCCACAACTCCATTTTGTTTTTTGAGTGTTCAATTCAATGAGTTTGCAGAACTGTTGCCTTCCTACTATGAAGGAAAGACCCGCATCACTTCTCATTTGCCTGAAGTCTCTAATTTTCTTCAAGAAATTCGTCAAGTTAGTTTGGCTTTACCGTGACATTTATTGCCATATTAATTTCTTGTTCATTGAATAATGTTATCCTATAATATATAAGGCATTTTATGTTGTTGTATTTGGTGCAACAAGGAAGGAAACAAACTACCTCTTACCCTATGTAGTTGCACTGAATGACAAAGGCTATCCAGTTTTATGTGAGAGATGATGCTTAAATTTCTTATGAAAACCTTAAAGAAGGTAGACGAGATTGATTGCGTTTACCTTATGCTTTTTAACTTCAGTTTAATGACGACTTGTGAGGAAATCACAACAAAGAAGTCTTTAGACCAAATCTGCATGAAAGGGATTTAAAGGGTGATATTGCCGTGTGTTTGCCCTTTTTCTGGCCTTCACATTGGTGTGTTTCTTTGGAATTACCAGGTGCTTATGACTTTGTTGGATAGTATGATTGGATTTTGTTCCTCGGCTAAAAATGATTATGAGAAAGAAAGCAGAAAAAAGTAAAAATACGATAACTATTTCAGCTTGTTTAAATATGAAAGTATGCAGAGAGCTAACTTAATCCCCCCTCTCCCTCTCTCGTTTTCTCCATCCTATAATGTATAAGAGGTATATAGTTTTGACAAAGAAAAAAGTAAGAAAGAAAAGAAAATGTGAAGTATTGAAGCGACCGTGGAATATGCATGAAATGAGAATAGGTGCTGTGGTGGTGTGAGATCTTAATGCAAGACCTTTTCCTCACAAATATAGTGCTTAGTTTAAAGGATCAACTGCTTTGTATTGATTGGTTTTTGAAGATTGGCCATGACATCTGTGCTGTATTTTTAATGTCAGAAATCATTAATTATATGGCTGTTTAATTGCTATCATAATCTAAGCTGTATCTTAGTATGAAAAAAATCTTTATAATCTTGCTCTTTTAGTGACCGACAATGTTGAGGCAATTATGTTCTCACCTAATGAGGTCTTCCGGTTGGCTGTGTGGGCGTATGAGATAAGTATAATAGACTGGTGGGATAGGAACCTGGAACTAGACCTCTCTCAGTGTAGAACTCTTGGTTAGTAATTAGGTAATATAAAAGAATAGAATAATTTAGGCATATTTTTAAGTTATATATCAATATATATGCATAATAAAATTTATAGTAAGCTGCAATATTATCCAATTATGAATGATGCTGCTCATTCCTTAGACTCTGCGCAAGGCAAGGCAAAATATGTCTAGTTTTATCAGGAACTTCACAGGTGAAAGTTTTTTCACAACTCAGCACTGACATGATTGGGTCCTTAGTAAAGTCCCTCTCCGTGTCATCTTTTAATGAAAAATCTGACAACACGCACCTAAAGTCTTCAGATGACCTGGTCTTTGCGATTGTTTGAATTTTACCTCTTCCCCTGTACTATATTTTGCTAGCATCACTCTATTTGCAGTCATGATGCGCTGGTTCCAGCAATGACCTTGAACTAAATTACTGAGGAGCGATTTAAGTAGATAAAACCATGTTGGGCTGGATTACATCAGTATTTAGTATATGATCTAATTTTGTATCTGTATTGTTCTGGACATTGCTTGGTTCCGTTGTTAAAATTTATTTTATTTTCTTCTTGCCGTTTTGTTTTCATCTTCCTTGTGTGTGTGTGTGTGTGTGTGTGTGTGTGTGTGTGTGTGTGTGTTTCCTCTTCAACCATATCTGAATTCGAATCTGTTGTTCTGATTGTCCTTAGATAAGAAGATTATACCAAAAGCAGCTAATGACATTAAACTTATAAACGCCGGAAAAATTTTGGAAAATAGCAAGACAGTTGGTCAGTGTAGGACACCTTTCGGTGAGCTTCCTAGTGGGATTATCACCATGCATGTTGTCGTCCAGCCTTCTCTGGCAAAAGCGAAAGCAGGTATACTTCATTCTGAAATATTTTGTGTGAATATTATCTGTTTATTTTTAATGAATGACACTTTACTTCAGATGCTAGTGCTTCTATACTCGTGCCATTGAACTTATATATCAAGCATCAACTATGGAAGATGATTGTGTATTAAGTGTAGGAATATAATGAAGCGAAGTGTCAGGAACCACTTTCTTCTAGAATGTCTAGGTGCATAATTCTGTTGTTTTTCAGTAACGGTAAAATTTTCTTTCGTTGGTTTGAGCAGAGAAAGATGTTGATGAGATGCCAAGAAAACACATATGTGCATGTTCAATTTTGTGAGAATCCATCATCATCCGGAGTGAAGCTGCAGAGGTTTGCCTTTTGGATGCTGGGATGGATCTCTGAGGTCGTGGGAATGCGTAGCTGGAAAGACAAATGTTTGCTGGAGGGTATTCCTGACTTGTCTGTGATGGTTTTCTTTGCTGTATAAAAATGGGTGTGTTGTAAAAGTCGTGTAAAATATGTAACATACAAGAACTTTTCATGATCTCTGTTCCCTGAGCACATTGAACAGTATTCCGTAATGGGAATGAAATGATCAATATTATTATATACACAGCCGTTTCTTAAGCATTGAATTGGGGTTATGTGCCAGCTAAGTAAATTTGATTTTTCACATACGGACAATATTGGCGGATGTGAAGGGTCGTTAACTCTTGATGTCCATTGTATTATTGACATTATCGTTTCACATCAACACTAAAGATGAAAAGTAGGTATATATTTGTAAGGTATTGACAAGTGCGAGGTCTCATTGTCCACAATCGCTGAGGAAGACATCTTGTCAGAATATGGACCTGGAAACTTTCGCGCTTTGACACCTTAGCATTTCGAACAGAAATCTCACATTGTTTATGTGGCCACCATACAAGATAATTCCGTAGCGACAAGCTGGAATTTTCCGAGCGTAACAATTACCTGTCTTGTGTGTTTTTTGGAAAATAATGACATGCCTTTAGATGGATACGAAGGCGGCCTTAGATTTCAAGAGCCCAGTGATTGCAATTTATAGCTAAAAGATAATCTTCCGGTTCTAAATAAAAAGCTCATATTGTAACATAAGTTATAGTATAAAACAGATTTTATGTTTAGAACTGGAAGAGTAGTATTAATGCCAGGGGAAAGTGATCAAGTGTTTTAATTTCTCAATATTACTTTGTTTAGCAAAACTTTGAGGAAACAGAGGCCATATAGTTTAAGGGAGAGGAGAGGAGATGAGAGGCAAGATGGTGTCGAGAAGTTAAAGAGAAATTAAACGGGAGGACTCGTGTTTCTATGTTCAAAACGTCATTTGTTTCTTTTGATTCCTTTTTGTTAAATAAAGTGTTTCGTTCGCCTCTAAATTCGAAGCCTCTCGAGATATACATACATACATATGAAAAATAGCCTGGATTAAATTTGACAATATTTAATTTGACTTAATAGTATTGGATATATAATTATATTAAAATAAAGGCTTCAATTTTCTTCTTTTTTTAAATTAATAAAACAGAAAAATGTTGTTTTTTCTACTTAAAAACGTGTTTTATTTTTCTAAATAAAAGTTTGGCCAAATATTTCTTTCTTTTTTTTAATAAAAAGCATTGAGGGTGTATGATAAAATGATAAAATACTCTTAAATATATGTTTTGTCCATACAACTTCATGGTTATAAATTTTAATTAAAGTATTATTATACGTAAGCCAACCTTAAAAATACGGACGAAAAAACTTTTCGTGGATAAATTTGGTTAATGCATAAAGGCTGGCTAGAACTGTGCAAGCATGAAGCAGAATCTTATTTGGTTTACTTCCTATCTAAGGGATGAAATCTAATTCAAGAACGATGGCCCGCACAAACAAACAGAAGAAATCTAATATCCGCGACCAAGGAACAAAGCACACTGCTAACAGAAACTTAATTACATCAACGAACAGGCCAGACTGGAGCGGAAGGGAAGGACAGTGGAGTGACTCCTCTCTCGTTCTGAATTTGAATTCCAGTGTGGTTACGTTGATCGAAATAATTCACCTCAGTCAATCTACTTACACAGACGCGTCAATATAGCACTCACCAAACCCTTCATCTTCTTCCTTTCCTTTTTAAATTGAAATGGCAAGTTAGACGTAGAAATTACAAATCAGACAAAAAAAAAAAAAACAGAGAAAACAAAACTAGTGGAAAGAGTGATCTAGCTCTCAGACTAGCCTCACAACCAGGGTGGGGGTTTTGTAGAATCAAAGCGTCTTCAGCCATGTGCTGACGAGCCTCCGTAGAAGTTGGCGGGCCAAATCCCCATTTCTTCTGCAAACCAAGTCATTCTCCATTTGAGTTCCTAATCAATCCTCCGCATGAAGCCTGATATATATCGGTTGTCAACCAAGCCATCAGTATCAAAAGGCGAACATAATCTTCTATTCATCTTCGTTTTCTATAGTCCAAACAAGTCATTACTAACTTTCATCGTGCAATGTCTCGATCGGATATATATATTTATATGATACAGATATGTTTATTTTTTTGAAGTGTCTGTGCTTCACAGTTCACATCTCTCTCTCATCTCTATCTGTTCTTTCTGTAGTATCTTTTGTTACTCTTTTTGCTGGCTGTTAATCAATTGGACTTGAACACAAAAATTACTGATAATTAATAATAAACAAATTAATTTTTGTTTTTTAGAGGGGGAAAACACATGCAGGTAATATTCAGTGGAGATCCATGGATGCGTGTATGTCTCAGCATCGCCATGCAGACGCAGCCATTAGGGCTCGGTCTTGCCATCCTAACAGCAAGCAACCTTTGTCCTCCGTCAACCTATACCCATCGCACGAATACAATCCCAGCAATATCTTCGACTGAGTCACCGCGTTTGGGCTCAGTGGCACCCCCTTGAACCCTTTCCCTTCCATTATCTTCCTCCATTTCTCCAACCTCTCGTGCCTCTCGATCCTCTCCGCCCCTTCACACGCCACTATGTTCCTTATCTCCGGCGCAAATATATATTGCTCCACTTTCGCCCTCTGCGCCGACTCCGGCGGAAACGTCGCGTCCAACGAATCAAATATCGCTGAGTAATAGTGCAGTGCCTCCAGAAATCTGCCCAGAAAGTACGGTCCATTATGGCTCGCTTCTTGCTCCACAAGGGTCACGATGTTGGGGGCCTGGTCCCTTATCATTGCTAGTAAATTTCCCAGGCAGTTGCCGGGGACCCGGTGAAGCCGATTTACGGAGTTCACCGCCAGTGCCTCTCCGACGCGACGATTCAACATGTGGGGCTTGAGATCTTCTAGTTGCTCGCCCACGGGGTGGAATTCGAAGGGGATACTGAGATTGTGGGCTAGCTGCGTCAAGCGCCGACCCGTTTCCCTCACAGACTCGATGCTCGGCCCGATACCAGTTATTCGCAGAAATGGGGCCCCTCCGGGTCGGGCTGCCAGGGCTTGCATGAACGCCGGCCACTGGTAACCTTGGAGAATGTCTAGATCGATGACATGCACACGTTCTTCGGCTTCGAATGCTTCGAAGATTGCCTGGTTTGCTGTGAAGTGGGCGAATTTGATGTAAGGGCAAGCTTGGTAGACGATTTGGTATATTTTGAGGATTTCTGTGGAGTTTGGTGGGTAACCACAGAAGGATGGCTTAGGGTAAGAGGAGTTCATGATAGGTTTGGAGGTGACAGTGGCTGCGAGTCTTGAGCTTAAGGCTTCGGCGAAACAGGACGCTACTCGTTGCATGGAGTCACCAAAAGGCGGCGTTACGACACGATTCAAATGGTGCAAATACCTTCTCGCCAACATGTAATCTTCTTTGGCCACTGCTTCAGCACAAGCTAATAACAGGTGCACCAGTTGTAGTCCACTGTCTTGTTCCTATTTATTCGATAAAGAAAATCGCTACTTTAGACAAAAACATGTGTAGAATAAGGCAACCATAGACAAGTATGTTTGACTTCATGACTCGCTCACATCTGGATTGATGCAGGTACCGAAAATAGCAAAAGTGCATAGGACTGATAAGAGAGATTTTACCTGCTCGTTCCCAATAGGAATAGGCACCATCAAGCTATGTGGCTGTTGTTGGTGTGATTGCTGTTGTTCCGATTGCTGCTTTTGCTGTTTCTCTTGCTGTCGTTCTTGCTGCAGAGCTTGCGAAAGAGATGCACTAATCTGATGATATACGTCACTCTCTTGGGAGAGGTGAGAGCCGTTCGGCACTGAAGATTCTTCGTTCACTGAGCCACAGTATCTTGAAGAACTGGCCATCGTCAAGCTGTCCAAAATGGAGGGGATTGAAGTTGAAATGTCGAAGCAGTCTGATGAAGAACTTCCAATAATGTCAGACAGTTTAGTGGATGAATATCCTCCTGCGACTCCATGATCTCCTTGATAGTCCCCCAAGAATTCATCCATGACGGGAAGCGAAAGGTTCTCCACAGGCTGCATGTGCTGGTTGTTGTTTGGAGAGTTATATACCTTATGGAGGGGACTCAGTCCCTTGCCTTTGTGGGTGCTGGTAAATGCTCCGATTTGCGATGAGAAGCGAGGAGGCGAACAGCCTGAAAGACTCTGTCCCTGCATTGCCTGAGCATAGTTGTAGTTGCAGTTGTAGGTAGAAGCTTGTGGGGAAGGCATGTTCCTCACCGGCGAACACATCATGAAATCGGCGTCTAAGTGATCGGCGAAGAAAGACTCCCACATGGAACTATCCGGTGACTGGACTTCCATATCTCCGTCCAGGTCAAATTTGAATGCAGGAAGGTTTAAACTTGATGGGGTTAGACTAGTTTGCTCTAAATGATCAGAAGACTGGGTGGCATTTTTCATAGACTGCAAACCCGGCTCGATCGAAGAAGTGGTGGGTTGGATTTTGTTGCATGAATTCTCACTCTTGAGGGACAATGAACTTCCACAAAGTGAATTGATCATATTTTGTCCCAAAAAAAAACTTCCCAGAAAACCTCTGTACCAGAGAGGTCTGCCTGCCCCGGGGGGGCCCACTTGGCGATTGATTCCTGGTTTTTTTTTTTTTTTTTCCTGCGATTTGCAAGAAGGCAAGGAACAAGAGAAGGTGTCTCAGTCTGAAATTAACTAGCTATCTTGGTACAGTGAGTCCTAGTGGAGTTGAATCAAGTGTTATTGGAAAGAGCAGAGACTGTGTCTTGTGCCTTCTTATGCAGATGGTTTTGAAAGGGAGGGACGGTGGGGACAAAACCTAATTCCAATTGTATGTGATTGGCGGTTTGTATTTGATAATCTCCATCCGAAGCCCTCTCGGGATTCTGGCTGGATTTTAGAGGCCTCATTTTTTGTCACTTTTAGTTACCTGTCTTAACTGTTTACTAGTTCCACTAACTAGCCTCTGCAGGACTCACGCCTCGCCACGAAGAAGCTGATGGAAGGGGCCCACCTTCCTTGGGCCGGCCCACCTGACTAATATAATAATCGCCCGTAATTACTAATTAGTTGTCAATCTGCAATTGGGCGTTGCGAAGAGAAGAACGACAATGACGTGAAAACTGATTATCGGGAACAGAAAATGGAAAAAGTGCAAAATGTGAGATGGAATGCATCGAGTGATCGAGTTTATTTTTTAAAAAAAAAACAATAGGTTATTATTATTATTAATAAACATGTACAGCTGGCTCAATACAAGTTTGTTGAGATTTCAGTGATGGGAAAACAATGGTGGTGGAGACATTAATTGAACGGCTGATGTTTAAAGTTTTAATATTTATTAAACATCGAAATTGTAAATTTATTTTGTTAAAAAATGTCAAGTTTTATAGAGTATATGTTAAAATAAAAAATAAATAAAATTAAATATGAAGCATGTACAGTCCTTGAGTGGCATGGAAAGTAGTTGGGAGAAAACAAGAAATAAAGCAAGTATTGATGAATGTAGCTAATTAATTAAAGAAAGTAGTACCCTCCGTTCTTTATTATAAGAGACATTTGCTGCTTATGGCATGTTCATATATAAGAGACACTTACAAGTTTGTCTCTACTTTTTTGTATTGATTTCTTATTTTATCCATATTTATTATCTCCACTCACGCTCTTCTCCTCCTCCTACTTCTCTTTCTTTTAATAATTTAATTATTCTCTCTCATGCTCTCTTCTTATTAATGAGGGCATTTTT